AAGAGTTGGAAGAATGAGGCCTGTTTTTGACCCAAAAATAGGTCAGAAAGAATTGGTTTCAGTCAGTTGATAGTAAATTTAGGTGGGGAGGCATCAGTGGAATATCTCTGCATTCAACATGGAGCTTCAGGACTTCTTCAGGTAACAAAAGGTTGCACATGAATTCTATTCCAATGATAAGAATCAAATAAATAGTTCAAGTAGGAAATTTAATAGGGAAAGACTATATCTAAAAAGCTTTTTCATGATATAATATTCTAGCAAAGTCATTTGTTTTTTTCCTCTTTCCACATTTTTAAATTGATGTATTGTAGTTGTACATAGTGATGGATTTGTTGCATATTCATACATGCACACAATATACAATTTGGCCAGTATCACTTCCTAGCACTTCCTCCTCCCCTCCCCACTTTTTATCCCTGTTCCTGGTCCCTTTCCTTTAATGATCTTCCTTTGATTTTCATGAGATCTCTGCCCCCACTTTTTTTTTTTCCTTTTTCCTCCCTCTCTTAGCTTCCACATATGAGAGAAAACATATGACCCTTGATCTTTTTTGAGTTTGGCTTATTTCACTTAACATATGGTCTCTAGTCCCATTCTTTGTCCTGCAAATGACATAATTTCTTTTTCTTTATGGCTGAATAAAAGTCCATTGTGCATTTGTACCATATTTTCTTTATCCATTTATCCATGGATGGAACCTAGACTGGTTCCATAGTTTGGTTATTGTGGATTCTGCTGCTATAAACATAGGTGTGCATTTATCATTGCAGTATGATGACTTTAATTCAATAAATACCAATGAGTGGTATAGTGGTCATATGGTCTTTCTATGCCTAGTCTTTTAAGGAAACTCCATCCTGATTTTCTTTAAGTGGTTGTACTAATTTATAATCCCACCAACAGTGTAAAAAAAGTGTTCTTTTTTTCCTCTACATCCTCTCCACCATTTATTATTATTTGCATTCTTGATGACTGCTACTATGACTGGTGCCAGATGAAATCTTGGTGTAGTTTGATTTGCATTTCCCTAATTGCTAATGATGATGAATATTTTTTCACATACTTGTTGGCCACTTATATTTCTTCTGAGAAACGTCTTTAATTCATTTGTCTATTAATTGTGTTATTTGATTTGTTGGGTGTTTTTGAGTTCTTTATGTATATTCTAGATATGAATCCTCTGTCAGAAAAGTAGCTAGTGAAGATATTCTCCCATTCTATAGGTTCTCTCTTCACATTCCTAATTATTTCCTCTGCTATACAGCTTGTTAATTTCATGCCATCCCATTTATTAACTCTAAGCATTATTTCCTGAGCTTTAGAGGTCCTTTTGAGAAAGTCATTTAGAGTGTACTAGAGTGTTGACTCTTTGTTTTCTTCTGAGCTGCATAGTTTCTGGTCTAATTCTGAGGTCTTTGATCCATTTTGAGTTGATTTTTGTGCAGGGTGAGAGATAAGGGTCTAGTTTCAGTCTTCTATAGATGGATAACCATTTTTTTCCCAGCACCATTTGTTAAAAAGGCTGTCTTTTCTCCAATGTGTGTTTTTGGCACCTTTGTCCAGGATCAGATAGATGACTATTATCTGTGTAGGTTTATCTATGTGTCTTCTATTCTATACCACTGGTCTATGTGTCTATTTTTTATGCCACTACCATAGCCCTGTAATATAATTTAAATTCAGGTATTGTTGATGCCTCCAGGATGGCTTTTTTTTTTCTTCCTATTAAATTTAATAAATTCGTTTTTAACAAAAGGTATTTATTAAAAGGTATTTTGGGGGCTGGAGATGTGGCTCAAGTGGTAGTGCGCTCGCCTGGCATGCGTGCGGCCCGGGTTCGATCCTCAGCACCACATACAAACAAAGATGTTGTGTCCACCAAAAACTAAAAAATAAATATTAAAAAATTCTCAAAAAAAAAAAAAAAAAAAAGGTTTTTTTGATTTCACCCCCCCCCCCCCAAAAAAAAGCCAGGATAAACAACCTTTAGGTTTTATTTATTATTTCTATAGTATATTAGGCTGTAGTATATTTAGCATCAATTGTTTCTTAATAGTAAAACAAAAGGAAAGGTGATTTACTAGTATTTTCTGGTAGGTATTTGTTCCTGTTACTTTTATTTATTTTTTTTTAATAAACTTTAGTGAGTAAAGCTAAGTAGCTGTAAGTCTGTACTCTTAATAAATTAGCAGGATTTCATCTGATTAATACTTAATAATACCCCTTCTTTTAAACTTTGGTAAGATTTCCACTTATTTTTCCATATACCTCCTAAGTCTTTCTACTTTTTTGGTTGTTGTTGTTGTTGTTCTTGAACTTTTGGTCTTAAGCTTCTGTAACTTATTTCAAAACTATCTTATGTATAATTATGTAATGTTGCTATAATTCTGAGGTACTGCAGTGAAATTGGAGCTTTCTAGTAATTAGAATTCTGGTATACTTTGGCTTCTGTACTATCTGTATTAGAGAAGGTGCCAGAAAAAGATACCTAAACCTTTCTGATTCTGAAGAAAAATAGCTTTTAAGCATCCAATAAGTAGATTATGTATGGCCAAAAAAGATGAAAAAATGGTGGTTAATCCTTACACAGCACTTTACTGGTTCGTTACATTGAAGGAAAAAGAGTTACCAGATTGTCTGCAAAGCCCTACTTCTTATGTAAAAACTGAAAAAGTGGGAGGTAAGATATAGAAAAATTGACAGGGAGGAAAGGGATCACACAACCTTTATTCATCCAGGTCTTGTGGTTATACAGACTAGCAATTTGATCCTTAAGTGACCCATATTCTGACAGTACAGAGGCCAACTCTGTTCTCTGGACAGCCAAAAAAGCCACTAGTACCACGAAGGTTTCTATCTCTGAGGGGTGGAGGTAAAATGGCATTGCCCGTAGCTGGTGATTAAGGAAAGGAATAGCCTCTATGTTGTAACCTATGAAGTCAGCTAGAAGAGCTTTTTGTTAGAGATAAATGGATACAGGAGGAGGTGGAGTATGGAGGTATTTGTACAAATGATACCTCAGTAGTTCCTTTAGGGTGTGCTACTCCGATTTTACCCTTCTAAAAGTAGTTTCCTGTACTTCACATAGCCTGTATGATTTCATGTGATTCTGGTTAGTGAATTATGTTTACTTATGTTTCCTAACTCATCATCATTAAAGATGGTTTCTTGGGTTAGACCTCTGTGGCACTTTTTTTTACTTTAATCTTTTTTTCCTACAAATTTATAATTGAGAAAACATTCTTTTAAAAAAAATTATTCCCTATACTCCCTTTAACATGTCAAGAAAGTAAGTAAGACATCTGAAATATTTTAAAGAAGCAACAAAGAGTTGGGGTATAGCTCAATGGCGGGGTGCTTGCCTACCATGGACAAGGTCCTGGGTTCTATCCCCAGTACCACAAAACAAAAACAAAAGCCAAATCTTTTCAGTAGAACAATCCTTTTGGTATTCCCCTCCCCACTTCTGCTATAGGTTGTAGTTCACTAACAAGTTGGAGGTTGTTGAATTTGGCAGTAAAAAATGATGTGTAATTAAGAAGGATAAGTTTTGTTTCTGTGGTCTAGGCCAAATTTACTGTCTTAATCATTTTCTTGGGGGTTAGACTAATGCTACAGGTATAAATTTGACATAATGAAGTTTTGCTTACCCTCAGAACTTAATTATTTTTCCATTATTTAAATATGAAAAATTGAGTTTGCAGCTGTTGATTTTAATTTGTTAACCCAAAATACAGAGGCACATTCTGATTACCATAAAATAGAGCTATTTTACCAAAACAGTATTATGGCCCTCAATAAGGGTATTGTATGTTACATTCAGAACCATTTTGATAAAGCACTTTTTGGGAGATATTGATGCTTATTATGAAATATTGCTTTATTTTTATTTTCAGGAAATAAATAAACTGATTTACAGTACAGGAAATATGAGCCAGATTAGCCAATCCACCTAAGCAAAAATAAGGATAGTTAAGAGCATGCATAATCAATGTGCAGTGGGTAGTAAACTTTTTGTACATTACAGATATAGGTTACTGTTGTTGAGATTAGTATTCAGATTTCTTATAGAATTATATAGGTTTGACTTAAATTTTGTGAGACTATGCATATATATTTATTGTCTATTTTATAAGCAAAGTTAATTTACAAATAATGTTGACTTGATCACTAATCTAAGTAACTTCCATTCTATTGTAGCCTTTTTCTTTTTTTGCTCTTAAAGTGTAATTTGGAAAAAAAAAAAGACTATTAAAAATATGGTCTGATCAATTAAAAGAGTGAACTTAATGCAATATGGTAAAGTGGCAGAGGATTTTTTAAGTAGGTAATCTCTATTAGCAATTCTGTTTCCTGATATCTTATTACCTAATATTCTTAGAAACTCCTAGATATTTGACCAGAAGTTGATGGTCATGAACCTAGTTATCATCACATAGAAATTAATAATGATGGAGCTCCCATGTCAGTCTTTACAACCCAGTTTTTGAAAACAGCCTGGTAGGCCCTGGGTAAGGATTGGATCCCTCACGGGAGAGGGAGGATTGAGGGAGAGGAAGTAAAAAAAAAAAAAAAAATTAATAACAAAAGTAGAATTTTAAATTTTTTAAAAATATTTTTTATGGTACTGAGAATTCAACCCCAGGGGTCCTCTATGTAGCATTGAGCTACATTGCAGCTCTTTAAAATTTTTATTTTCATAAAGGGTCTTGCTAAATTGGCTAGGCTGGCCTGAAACTTGGAATCCTTCTGCCTCAGCTTCTTGAGTAGCTGGAATTACAATTACAGCATGTGCTTGGGAAATTTTAATTTTCAAAATGGGAATGTTATCATTAGTATGCTTCTTTGAATAGTTGGAAATTATTTTTTAAAGTGTGCTACATTATATCAGTAGACCTAACACAGTATTACTATCCTATGTGATAGGAATCTTATTAAACCATGTTTTAAAATTTTCTACCTTACCACCCTTTCATCTCCTACTTTTCTTTTCAAAGAGAAACTGGTAGTCTGGGTAGATTCAAGACATCTTTAAGTGAAAACGTCTTGGGGAGCCCCAAGGAGCTGATGAAGTTAAGTGTGCCATCGTTAGTGTATGCCGTTCAGAACAACATGGCTTTCCTAGCTCTTAGCAATCTGGATGCAGCAGTATACCAGGTAAGCGGCATTAGTGATAATCAAAGGCTCTGAATTTAAAAAAATACTTTTAGAGTAGGAAGGTTTTTATTCTTCATGTTATGAAATTATTTTTCTCAATACTTCTGTTAATGGCATCAGAAATAATATATTTGTGTTAGAGGCTAATTTTTGCTGAATTTATTAATTAATTGTTTTTGTTTCCAGGTCACCTACCAATTGAAGATTCCCTGCACTGCTTTATGTACTGTTTTAATGTTAAACCGGACACTCAGCAAATTACAATGGATTTCAGTTTTTATGCTGTGTGGCGGAGTCACGCTTGTACAGTGGAAACCAGCTCAAGCTACAAAAGTGGTGGTAAGAAATAAAATGCATACCATAACTAAAATAGGAAACTTCCTATCTTATATACTCAGACATCACATTATATGATTAATTTCTATGATTTTAAATAAACTTTGCCTAATTGATAGACTTTTACCCCCTTAGCATTATACTATTATAAAGGATAGTAATACTTATTGTCTTTTATTCTTAGAGAAAAGTATTAAAGTGCATTTTATAGTCAGAAGGTACCTTAGAGAATATCCCCTTTCTTTTATGTATGACAAAATATAATATTTTCAAAGAGGTGAAGTAACTTGTCTGAAGATAGTTAATAGCTAACTTGTGATTACAACTGTGCCAACTTCCATATGGTGAATATATTAAGAACTTGTAGACTTTTTTAGACTATATATATTAAGGAAGATTTTGCCCATCTAGTTTCCATTCTTTCTCAACTCAGTCTCTCATCTTTTGACACATATTCTGTCAATGATAGGGATGACAGGGGACGAGTATTCTGTTTGCTGACAATAAAAGGCCAAAAAAAAAAAAAAAAGCGCCCTTTAAAACGTTTTTAAGAGTGAATGTTAAGATACATACCTGATTTTTAAGAAAACACTCTATGCCTCTATCATTAATAACTGATAACTCTTCCCCAAGAAGAAGTAGGAAGAGAAACTCAAGTGAATGACTTTCTAAAAGTAAGGGGTTTCTCTCTACAACTGAATACTTTCTTCAACTTTTAACAAATGGACTGTGGTTCTCTTAGACATAAGAGAAGGCAGCCAGGAATGTGAAGAGAACTTATAAAAGTAGCAAGTTTGTTCCTCTTTAAATTGGTAGAAAACTGTCCATTTTCAGAAAATGTGTTTTAGATTAGTATTTATTACCTTTGGATGATGTGGAAGCATGCTCATGTTCTTGGTGACATTTCAAAACATTTATCAGATATGCACTACACATTTAATTCAGTTATAAAACTTTAGAGGAATAATTTGAGAGCAAACCTTTAAATGTTAAATATTAACTTTGATACCTCACACCAATAGAAAAGGTGTTAAGTTCACCTCACATAGGTAATGTATATAAAAAAGGTGTTAGCTAAAGCAAGTTATAGGGCAGGTTACCCTACTTTGGGCCACTCTAGAAAATTCTGTAATATTTTAAGCAAGAGAGAACAAAATATAAACCACAAAGGCAAACCCCCAGTGACCCACCTCCTCCAGCCACACCCTAACTGACTACAGCTACCACCCAGCTAAAACATAACCTAATCATTTCACCTCTGAAAATTCTTACATTGTCTCACACATGAGCTTTTGGGGATACCTCATATCTAACAGTAATAGGAAACCACACTGTTTTCCAATGATGACCATTAGACATAAGTTCAAGTCATCTAAGTCTGCTTTAACATTTGGCTAGTACTCTATACAACAGTATCAGCTATAATCACTTAGTACTAGCATTATTCTATTTCTAAATTTCTTGGTAAAGAGACTTCTGAACTTACTTAGCAAGGTATTCTTATAATAGCAAATCAGAAGTCTTGGACATCACTTCTCTTTAATGTTTTAAGGTTTTTTTTTAAATAAGGCTCTACTTATTCTGATTTTTTAGTTTCTTGATACTGTTTTGAAATTCCTTATTATATATTCCTCTTGGTGATCTGCACCTCAGTTCTTTTGTTCCTATAATCAGAATTCAGTGAAGTTGCCCTCAAGCAGTCATGTTGCTTTTTTTGTTGTGTTTTCGGTGATACTGGAGATTGACCCCAGGGGCCCTCTATAACTGAGCTACACTCCCTATCCCTTTTTAGTTTTTGAGACAGAGTCTCAAGTTGCCAAGGCTGGCCTCAAGTCTATGATCCTCCTGCCTCAGTCTCCCAAGTCACTGAGATTACAGGCGTGTGCCACCAACCCCAGCGGTCATGTTGATTTCTTTATGTGTTCTTTTTAACTCTTCATCAGTACCTCATTCTTCAGAAACTCATAATATGTCTCGAACCAACATCCCACTAGCCATGGAATTAACTGATAGTTTATTAAATTCAGTTTATTCAAGAACAGTGTGCATGTCCTTTAACTTGCTGTGTCTGGCTATCACTCATGCTAGGATAAAAAGGTTGCTTTCTTTCGAAGTTTCTCTCATGTCTACCTCATCATCTATCAGTTCTTATCAGAATTTAAATCCAGAGAAGCTGTTTTTATCACTGTTTTTCCTAACTGTAGAGACTAAATTGGCAGGAAAGCAAGTCAAGAAGTTATTAGACACTGATTTTTACTAGTTTGAACTTCCCAGCAGATTTAGTGATAATCTCACAGTAAGATTTTTTTCCTAGTATTTATGCCAGTCTTGTGATCTTACTAGGAAAGCATCTATGTTAATCAGTTTATAGTATAGCAGTGGCTCTTAAATTTTAGCATTTATCAGAAGCAACTGGAAGGTTATTTAAAACAGATTGCTGGGCCCATTCCCATAGCTTATGGTTCAGTAGGTCTGGGGTAGGGCCTGACAACTTTCATTTCTAATAAATTCCCAGGTGATGCTGCTGCTGCTGGTCCAGGGACCATACTTTGAGAACCACTGGTCTACAGTGTCTTCTGTTTCTCCTTTTATCATCATACAAACATTTTAGACCAAGCTTTCTCTCTCAGGTACTTACTCTCCTTACATTAGGCTTATTTATTTTGAACAAGGTGTATTCTTGTTACATTATAGTCAAGTGTCAGCCCTCTAATTTCAGCAACATTGAAACAGTATCTCTCAGGAGAGACAGATGAAAACTCCTGGAGATTAATTTAGGGAAGAAAGAGAAAATAAAGTTGAAACAGTAGATTGGGGCCCCATTTACATATATCTATTAGCACATGTCTCACAGTGTATATTTGTCAGTTTTCCTATACATGAAATTATTTAACAGCCAGAGCTGTGTATCATCATCATATTTATTAATTCAATATACAGCACTGATTATGGTACAGAAGTTATACTATATTTGATAAAGAGGGGAATCTCAAAACCAGCACTTCATCCTCAAGCTGTTAGGGAATAAATAAGTTCTAGGATTGATGCTATAAAGTGTATGAATTAGGGTGGTGACAAATGAAAATTAAGATTCAGGCTAACTATGCAAAATTCTGTGCTAGTTATTGGTATTAGGAAACAGAAGATATTCATGTCATATTATGCATATCTTATGTCTGATTTTAGGGATACATTTTAACTTAAGTGTTCTGGTTAATTTCTGGAACGGTCTTTATGTTTTGTTCTGTCCTGTCTTATTCTATAGAACACCTGATATGAATATACTTTTGGTAGGACTGTACCACTGATTTTTTAATTCATTTGTGTGGACTGTTGGATAAATTCTATTTGTTAGCGACTGAAAGTAACTTTTAAATTAATATTTCAGGTGGAACAGAATCCATTATTAGGGTTTGGTGCTATAGCAATTGCTGTATTGTGCTCAGGGTTTGCAGGTAAGTTATGGAAATATCATTTTACCTGTTGTTACATTTTTTTGAAGTCAAAACTTGTAAAAATGGACCTAATTTATCTTGCTTTGTCATAACAATTTTATTCTCATTAAAGCTTTATCATCTTATAGTTTGGTGTCAGCTGTTATTTCTAGTAAATGTGTGACCTTGTTTGACTCAGTTCAGACCTCAGTTCTTATTCAGACTTGCAGTTAGCTTTCTAAGAACATACTTTTTTTCATCTTTGACTATCTCACTCTAGACAACAATCCAGAAGTAAATGAAAACAGACTCCTGAAAAATGGAAAAAATTGGCCTTCAGAGAGCTCAAAATACATTTTCCAATTTTCCTATAACTGCTAGCTCCAATAGGATGTTAATGTTGACCAGCTTGATGTCTGTTTTGCCTATAGCCTCAAGTTGTCCTCTGCTTCAACAGACTAGGAGCTACAGAACAGAAAGAGGAGGTGGATGGAGTATAACTCAGAAACATACAAAATCATAGCATCTAAAAAGGGAGAGAAGAGAACATAAAATCACTACCATGAAGAGAACAGAAAGTCTGGGGACATATGTGTAGGGACAACTCCAATGAATAAAGAAAAGATAATGAATGCTGAAGTGCAATGTGAGAAATGAAATGTGTTTTAGAAATATTTTCAATAGGAATAAAACTTGAACCTCTTTAAGAAGATATTAGTTATAGCTATATTTTTTTATTATTTGTACCTATTTCAAGTGTTAGGACTTTTTATTTTTGACTAGGAAGACAGGTAGAATATGGAAATATACTACTTGAAATAGGTGTTTTAGAAGCAGAGAAAATCTAAATTTAGGACTATACTTAATTAACCAGTATCATGCTAAACATTTTTTCTTAGGAGCCAACAAATCAGAAACAGAAATAGTCACCCTTCCCCAAATAATATATTTTTGATTTTTAGCAAACTTTTTGAGCAATTAAATATTTTGTGTCCACCGTTGTATTTAGATACAGCATCTCAATACACATTTGAGAATATTCTTCTATGCTGGGAAGAATTATTATTTGAATAACTAACTTAATAATTAGAATATTATAATCAGAAAAACTAAGCACTGAATAATTAAGTGGTTTTTGCAGAAATAAAATCAAAAGTAGAAATAAATATATCTATTTTACAGTTTTCCCCCCATTCTTTGGCTCTAACATAGGTTCATAAAAAAAAATCATTTTTCATTAAACGTTTTGGTTGATGAGTACTTGAGAACCAGTTCCTAAGTCTAACATGGTATTTATATCTAAAAATTTTAAATTCCTTGTCAAACATGCATTCATTTAAATAAAAAACTTAATACTGGTGTGTGACTTCTAGTCTGGGGAATCATACTAACTTTGAGTATCTCAAAACAAAAAAATGATGGACCCACAACTTGGGGAAAAAATGCACATATACACAAAGTTTATTATTTAGTTTATGGTCCTTCTGACATTTTATGAACTTATATAGGAAGATGTCTTTACTCAGCAAGTCCTATTCAAATTTTATTTTGGATATGTCACTGGAAAAACTCTTTTAACTGGTGATTTTATGGTTATTTTGCAACAAGGGTGTGATTAAGATAATTTAATAGTATAGTTTTTTTGGCTGACCAATGCAAGTCTTTTAGTGGCATTAATAAGCGTTTGTGATCTATCTTACTGCTACAATAAAGGCAGAAACTGTTCTTAACAATAATTTAATAGTCTTCTGTCAAATATAGCTTTTAAAGTTACTCTTAGTTATTAAACCTCATGTTCGGTGTAAAAGTGCACATTCGTAATATTCAGTATATCATGTGTCATAACCTACATAATAAATGTTTGTTCCTCAAATCATATACTTTATATATCTCTAGGGTATGTTCTAAATGAGATGTTTTAAATTAATTCATAATAATATCTTTAATATATTCTTGTCTAATTTTCCTATTTCAGGAGTGTATTTTGAAAAAGTCTTAAAGAGTTCCGACACTTCCCTTTGGGTGAGAAACATTCAAATGTATCTGTCAGGAATTGTTGTGACATTAGTTGGCGCCTACTTGTCAGATGGAGCTGAAATTAAAGAAAAAGGATTTTTCTATGGTTACACATATTATGTCTGGTTTGTTATCTGTAAGTATCCAGGAATTAAAGGTTATGAGTAGATCCTTTTTACTTTTTTTTTTTTTAAGGTTAGATATCTGCTTTAAACCTTTATAGCATTTTGACATTATTCTTTTGATACTGTGAATATCAGTTCAAAAATGTAATTTTGGTTTTATTGACTTTCTTTTGTGGCACTCTACCCCAAAACAATTTTCTTTCATAATCAAAAGTGTCAAATGTGATAGCAATAAATGTTTACAATTTAGTAATAGATTATTAGGCATCCAAGAAACATTTATGAAGGAACTACTATTCACTTTTAGTACAAACTCTCAGTTGACTGCTTCTAAGGAAAATAGTATTTTTTCTAGGTAAATTAGTATAGCATCTCTGGGAATGAAATTAGCTCATCATTATGGAATGTTTTATTTATTTGAGTGTTAAGATTTTTTTCTTTCTCTATCTCAAGTTCTTGCAAGTGTTGGAGGCCTCTATACTTCTGTTGTGGTCAAGTACACAGACAACATTATGAAAGGCTTTTCTGCAGCAGCAGCCATTGTCCTTTCTACCATTGCTTCAGTGATGCTGTTTGGATTACAGATAAGTATGTCTTAGTTTATATTAGTTGTTAACATGGAAGAACCTTTCACCTACCTGATTCACTCATCTCATTAAAAATGGCAACTGGCTGTGCTGTTTGTAGAAATTCCTAGTTTTCTTACTACAAATCACAATTGTGTGGAATGTAAGGAGGCAATAGTTAGGCTTTTTAAATGGTCCTAGAGCTGAAGCTGAAGGATGCTGGGTTCTATGTGAAAGTGAGGGGACTGCTTAGGTATTAAAAAGAGCTTTTTTTTTTTTTTTGCAGTCATGGCTTCTCTGTTCCAGAGATGTTAGATACATGATGACCTGAGTGATCAAGGTGAACAGTAGGCCCTCCCTATCTGTGGGTTCTGCATCCATGAATTCAGTCAGCCATTAGAAAAAATTTGGGGGGAAAAATGCATCTATACAGACTTTTTCTTGTCATTATCCTCTGAACTATCTAGTAGAGCAGGTATTTATATAACCACTTACATTGTATTAGGTATGGTAAGTAACCTATAAATTAAGTATACAGAAGGATGTCTGTAGGTTGCATGCAAATATGCCACTTAATATATGGGACTAGAACATGTACAAATTTTCATATTCCTCTTACAATAGGAATAGGTAGATAAACAGTAATTTTGCAGAAAACCATTTTATAGTATGATTCAATGCCCCATAGATTCTCGGGGACAACTAATATGAATGGAAGAAAACAGAAAACATTTTCATCTCCTTCTTTAGCTTATATTTTCCTGTTCTGGACTTGGTTAGGTGTGAATTGGTTTTGAAAATAATCCAAGTCTAGATTTTTATTTTCTATTTTATAAAGATTTATTTTTTTCATTTAAACATTTTTGTTCTCATGTAATTAATATAAGTTAAATATTATAGCTAGCTTTCTGACACCACTGCTATGTTAGCCCTTCTAATATAAGTTTCCTGCCATTCAGTTGGCTTCTGAATTACTTAAGCAGTAAATATTTTAGGGTGCTTTATGCTATATAATCATTTTCACTATTGACCAGTTCTATATTATAAAACACACAAGGAAAATCTATCAAATGTCTGTTAAGTATAGGCCTGGCCTGTATTTACATTTAATTTTAGAATTTATTCCTTTTACAAATGCAGGTAGATAAACAGTAATGCTGCAGAAAACCATTTAATAGTATGATTCAAATCTAGCCTGTACCATTTATTAGTTGTATAACCTTGGAGACGTTACATAACCTATGTTTGTTTCGTCATCTGTAAAATGGGAATAACGTCACTATCTCCTGGGGTTGTTTTGCAGGGAATCTGCCTGACTCATAGTAAGTAACCTGTATAAAGCTAACCACCTAAAACTTCAGTGTTGGGTATCTCCAGACATTCCATAGATGTTTTTCTTACCTGATTTGGGTGATTTTTTTGTTTGTTAGGTGAACTTTTAATTGTAGTTCTGATTTGTTTTTATGTCCTTGCTCCCTAAGAAAATCTGGTAACAGTGTAAAATGCTTTCAGTTAACTATTTAGATGTAAGATAAAAACTGCCCTTCTTTTTTGAAGGCAAAGCTGGTCTTTCCTCTTTAGGGGTGAATTAAAATCATAGCTTGATGTCATTTCTCTGCATGCCATTTTTTAAAAAGCTATTAAGAGTCTGCCATTGTACTCCATATAGAATATGGTTCTATTTTTAATGGAATTTCATCATAAGCATTTATTTATATAATGCTTACATGCCAACTTTTGACAAGTGGTAATTCCGTTTTTTGTATTCTGATTTTCAGAATAAAGATTTAAAAAGTATTGCAGGACATGTAATTTTATACAATAAATCACCACTTTATCTCTTCCCATTCAGAAATTTTCAGTTATTTGAATAATTGGTCACCTAACTCTGAATTTTGTTCAAGTGTATTTTACTCTAAACTTTTCCACATTTCTGATATCATGGAAAAGCCACATCACACTGTATTTTTTAAGAATATTTTTAAATTGTCAATTGACCTTTATTTTATTTATTTATATGCAGTGCTGAGAATCAAACCCAGTGCCCCACACGTTAGGCAAGCGCTCTACAACTGAGCCACAACTTCATCAGCCCCACACACTCCTTTTTTTTTTTTTTTGCATTCAATGTATTTGTATTTTATATTCAAATTATAGGAAGCTATTCTTTCTCAGTGATCAGTGAATGTTGCCCCTTTTTCCTTTGTGCTAGAATGGACAAACTTTCTAAATATTACCATCATAAAAACAGAACCTTTAGATTTATTTCTTATGACAGTATAAATACTTAATTTAAAATTTTCAGAAATTTACTGTTATAGAGCTTTAAAAGCACAAAGACAAATTAAACTTTTCTTTTTCTTTGTTTGCCTCCTTCTCAGCACTTACCTTTGCTCTAGGTACTCTTCTTGTATGTGTTTCCATATATCTCTATGGATTACCTAGACAAGACACTACATCCATCCAACAAGGTGAAACAGCTTCAAAAGAGAGAATCATTGGAGTGTGATTTGAGCCTCAGGAGAGATTTCTACTATCACTAAACCATTTGCATTAAACTAGAGCCTTAAGTCAATCTTGGAAGGTAGATTAAACTGAGAACCAATTAACGATATGACATAAGAATCAAGAAGAAAGCTATATGAATGAACTGTTAATACAGAGATTTAACGTGAGCCTGTTTGGGTTCAAGCTGTACTGTTTAGAATGAAGGAATTTTATTACTGTATATATAAATATGTATATAAAAAGTATGGAGATGATATGGTATTAAAATCATGTGAAGCTACAATGTTCAAGTAACAAGGTGTGGGACAAATGTTCAAGGGTTAAAGTGCCAAAGCCATTTCTGTACTAACTGTTCTCTTGTTCAGGTACCAGGGGAGAAGGATGGCCCTTCCTTGTTCTCCAATTCACATACAATATTGTGTCCCAGCAGCAGTAAAGACCTAGCTCTTTAAAGAGTCAGAAACGAGACAAGCTAGTTCAGAAACAAACTTGAATGTGTAATGGAATCTATTTCATAACTCAGACGATGATTCTGGGTGGTGACTGAGTACTTAGTGCTGTATTTGTGCCATTCATTGTCTGGTTCATATTTCTTTCCTCTTAGAAGGTATACTTTTTTTCAAAAACATTTCTAATGTCACTTTTATACTTTTTTTAATAAAGTATGGTTAAATGTTGGGCGCTCAATAATTTGTTAAATTTCAGTGTTTTTAAAAAAATTTCTATAATGTTAATTGGGAAATTCAGCAATAAACTTATTTATATGAATTCTGTTTAATCACTTTTTTTGTAATGTAGATATGACCATTAAGAATGCAAAAACATAGAAAACCAAACCAATTTCTTTCAGCATGTAGAATCATATCAAGGTTCTTTGTTCGCAAATAATATCTATAAACGTGGTTTAAGTGAAACAAAACCAAATAAATCTAAATAATAGCAATCAGAGTTATAGGGCTCTTGGTTGTAGAAATTAATGAGTGTTTTTTCAGGGACCTGCTTTTGGGAAGACTTTGCTCTAACCATTACTGTCCATGTGTCATATCACTTAAGATTCAAATTGATCTGGGAAGGAGAAAATGTCTCAGAAGTGTAGAGGGATGATACTGCATGCACATATAAAACATGTTCCTATTGTACATTTTATTTTAATTTTTTAATTGATTTGTAAAAAATAAATGACAGTGGAATGCATTGCAATTCTTATTACACATAGCACAATTTTTCATATCTCTGGTTGTACCTATTATACATTTTTATTCTATGGATGTTTGTGCTAAGGGAATTTTAAGCAGAAAATAGTAGGAATCTAACTCACTTAAAATTGAGACTGTATGGATGAGTCTTCTAGATGAAGGTAAACCGTACTTGCCAATATAAAACAATGGTTATTCCAACTGGAGAAACTTTGACTCATTGTTTTTCTTCATAAAAAGAGATGAAAATTTTTGTATTCAGAAAACTTCTACTAGCAACACTTAGAATGACTTACAAAAGATGTGAATGAAAATGCTGGCAGAGGATGGCGCTGATCAAACAAATCACATCCTACTCATCTAAATCAAGCTCATGTTATTGCATCAAGTCATACAAAATCTACGTAACAAATATGTAGATACAGAAAGTTTTTTTTTTTTTAATTCCTCATCAAATACAGTTTAACTATTGGACTGCATTTTGTGAATGTCTGTACAATTAATTTTCTTGCTATTCAAATATATTCAGCCTGAAGTTAACATAGGAAGCTGCCAGTATGTATCAACTAAAAGGTAAGTGTGAGGTAGGTTCTCCCTGGGAGTAGTTGTCAGCTATACTGCCAAAAAGATGCTTACTTTTTTTTAATCTTATTTTTCAGAACTAGCCATGACTACCAACGGCTTGGGAGGCTGAGGCAAGAGGATTACGAGTTCAAAGCCAGCCTCAGCAAGAGTGAGGTGCTCTTGCTGTCTCTAAATAAAATATAAAATACGGCTGGGGATGTGGCTTAGTGGTCGAGGGCCCCTGAGTTCAATCCTTGATTCTCCCCTGCCTGCCCAAAATTAATTTCTGGAAGAATGACACTATAAGAAACGTCAAGTCATAGTTTAAATTCTTTATCCCCATTAGACCACGATATTTTGAGTTTAAAATGACACAGCTTAGTTTTACAAATGTCTAAGTACCTATTGACCATAAGGGAACTCACATTACTTTTTTAAGGATAAGGATTAAATAAGTTGGTAAGTCACACGTATTTCACCTAAAAACAAATAACTGAAATTCACTTAGCATTTTAAAACACCATTTTAATTACAAATTACATTCTACATACAGGAATTATTCCAAGAAGTTTCATTCCATTGGCCAAGACAGAACGGACAGCTTTGAAAAGATGAAGTCTGGCCTACAAAATAAACCAAAGAATGATTAGATGTTCAATAACATGCTACCTGTAAGTAAATAAATAAGAATGGTTTTAGAAGAGAAATAATTTGGGGGGGAGTAGAGGTACTGGTGATTGAACTCAGAGGCATTCAACCACTGAACCACATCCCTAGCCCTAACTTTTTTGAATTTTATATAGAAACAGGGTCCCACTGAGTAGCTTAGTGCCTTGCTTTTGCTAAGGCTGGCTTTCAATTCTTGATCCTCCTGCCTCAGCCTCCAGAGCTGCTGGGATTACAGACATGTGCCACTGCACCAGCAAGTTTTAGAAGCAATTCTAACTTCTAATTTAAAGTAGGAATAATATTTCAAGTACCCTAGAGTTTACTATAGGTAAAGGAACAAATTCTTGAATCCCTTACAGCAAGACTAGTACAGAAGGCATTTGTGGAGTGGGAATGGTTGAACTTTTCAACTCTATACTGGATGTAGGAAAATGTGTTTCTTAGTTTATGAACATTGGTTGTTAGACTCCAATTCTTAATTATTACCTGAATCAGAAAATACATTTCTATAGTGTAACAATAAAATGTTATTTGATAAAATTCTACTAATGTTTTGGAATCTTGGTCTGAGGCTGCTAAGGATTCCAGGAAAGACATTCATTATAACCTACCCCAGCCACATCAGGAGGACTATCTTTTATTTGGAGTGTTTTGTGTGCCACAGCTGCAAGATGACTAAAACAGAAAGAGAGAAATCATCATTGGAACAAGAAGAAATTTCCTGTTATCAAGTTCATGTTATATCTAATTCTTTTCCCTCAAATTGGAATAAGTCAAAATTTGGAAGCACTAAAGAAGGTATCCAAAGTTGTAAAGCTGAGACTGAAGTTCACTGCTTTACTAAAACAAACTAAAACACACTCAACTCAAGCTTTAAATTTTGGTCTTGGTTCTATTACCAAGTTCTTGATATTATAATTTCATTGCTAGTTTCTCCTTCATTTATTTATTTTGTGTGTGTGTGTGTGTGGGGGGGGGCTGGGGATTAAACCCAGAGCCTTGTGCATGTGAGGCAAGTACTTTACCAACTGAGCTACGTCCCCAGCCCTCATTGCTAGTTTTACAAATATAGGTTATTCCTTTCTAACAACTTTTTACTTACTTGGATAATCTTTAAAATTAAAAAGTATAATATGCCACGGCCTTTTCCCTGTGTAGAGTGAGGAGGTGGGCTAGAGACTAGTTATCAATCCATTCCACACACACAGGCTACTCTTCTTTAAAACACCTTTTCTATTCAGGTATGGCACCAAGTAGAACAGTGTCCCAGAGAAATGATGCTTAGGATATTCATTTAATGACTGATATTTCCTAAGATTTTCTGGCTTTATTTCCTCTGTATATCAAGGAAAAAAAAAATTTAGTCAAGAAAATAGTCCTAAGGCTGGGTTTGGAGCTCAGCAATAAAGCACTTGCCTAGCATATGTGAGGCACTGGGTTTGATCCTCAGAATCACATTAAAATAAATAAAGTATTGTGTCTGTTGTCTATCTATAACTGAAAAAAATAGTTCAACTAAGTCTCTAATTTAGTAGATATTGAGTAAAAGCAAAATTTCCTTTCTTAAATAGCTTATGGGAGGGATTGTGGCAGTGGCTCAGTGGTAATGTGCTTGCACATACAAATAAATAAAATAAATGTATCATGTCCATCTACAACTAAAAAAAAATTTAAAAAATTGCTTATAGGAAGTTAATACTGTTGCTGTGTAAAAGTAGACTCAACTTCTATTCAAAGGTTTTAAAATAACCATAAAATTTCTATCAGAGTTTCACTGATTTGCCTCCTAGTTCAATCTCTACCCTCTCTCTAGCTGACTTGATGTTTCTGTGCCTCTGCTTAAAATGCTTTTATGGACCCACTGCCCTGAAAATCTAAATAGCAAAAAGTACATGGCAAAAAGGCCTATACAGACATCATCTGTCATCCCTTCCAGGAATATCCTTGTAGTTCTTGCTCAACTCTGCTTTTTCCTTCTTCCTAGATACATGCTTCTCCTGATTAATATCTACTGCTTTCCCCTGAGAAGCCCCTTCTGATCCTCCAGGTCTGGGCTAAAATTGTCTTTTATGTTCACTGTATCACAACAAATATGCACTGTGCTGTAACTACCCAGAGCATCGTGGGTAGTTGTCCCTATTCATTTGACTATAGTGACTATACTTTATGTCACTGATGAATAAATGAAACTGAATTGCTAATTGGCAAAAATTCCTGTAACTTGCAGCAAAACCATCAATTTTGGGGGGCAAGGGATCTGTCTATTTATAGGAAATCTTTAGATGAAAGAAATGTTCTTTGTTGGATCAGGTCTCAAATGTCATTAATGCTTGAAAATAGGAAAATTATCAAATACCTTAGAGTTAGAAGGTAACTAACAATGTGCCTGGGTTGAAGGTCCTGAGATGATTTAAAAAGCACTTCGTCGAACCTAAAAGAAAGATGATAGGGAGAGCTGACAGAGACAGACTATGCACACATTACTCTAAGTTGTTAAGAGACCTTGGATGAAAAGACTTACTTGATATCATTAAGAATAGAGGGCATATGGAAAAAGACCTGTGTACATCTGAAGGTAAATGCATATTTTTCTTACAAATTCCGGATGCAGGGACTTTCTAAATCATCTTGCTATCTCTTAGGCCTAATCCAGAGCAGACTTAAATCATGGCTGTTAAAATGAATGTACAAAGCCTCCAGCCAATTTGAGGAACATAATCTACAAAATCTACCTTCAAGGCTAAGAAAATCAGGTTGGTTTATTTTCCTTCACAAATTAGCTGCCCATGAGTAAATTTTACTGTTTGGCAATCAAAGAAAACTGCCTTGGTTTCAGCTACCCACATTCTTCTTGGGACTGATCTATGTTAACAAGTCTAACAGGTATGGCCTCCTGTCCAGTGTGGGGGCATCAGACAGATAGATTTATTTGAGACTGTGAGCTGAAGCCAGCAAGCAAGTGAAGGATGTATGACCTTTTAGAAGCTGCACAAAGGGAGGATTTTTCCTTATCAGGGTGAGAAGGTGTTCTTTTCTAAAACCATAAGTTTATGCTTTTATCAGGCTTTACCTGCCCAAACAATGGGCTAGTGGATGCCAGGCATTTCTGCTAATTCAGAGGTGATAGCCTTTTTAAGACTCAAAGACTGATCTTGAGTAATGCACTTCATCTTCCCTCAAAAGGCAGAAAAAACACTTTTGGGGCATACTTTTTAGTGGTCAGCAAAAATACCAACCAACAGTTAATTCAATTAGCAGAAGCAGACTTGGTAATACCAAAAAACCATCATACCTGAGAAGATGCTGGAGAATTGAAACAGACTGTGGCTCTTGTAAGCAAGCAGTGTTGAGGTCATTCAGATAACCAGATCCAAAAGTCTCTTCCAAACTATTATAAGTTAAAAACATCATAGACTTCATCCAAGGACACACACATAACTGTAGGTGATGAACATTACCTCAAATGTACAGTCTTGATCTCCTTAACATAGCCCTAAACTTCAGTGCTAACATATTTGACCTGAATCCTCCATTTTCTCAACTGAGAAATTAAAATTGAATCTCAATTTGAATCCTCAAATTCTCGATTTGTTTCTGTATCTGTAAAATGTAGGCAATAATACATTCTTTGACAGCATGATTTTGAACTAATTAAGGTTAATATACATAAAGGCATTTCTTGTAGGTGCTTAATAAATATTTAAAAACAACAACAACAGGAGGTCTGTTGTGCTTTAACTGGCTTTGAATAGGAGATGCTAGAAAAACCCAACAAACAGGGCCTGCTATTGGTCTTGGAACTACAACACCCAGGTCCCAACCTAGGGGAGGGCAGTGGTTTCCCTGTGGTCTCTTTTCACCTGTGGAGGCGGGCGTGCGTGTACTGAAGGAAGACTCCTGTATCCCCACGACTCTGGAAAACACGATCCCAGCTGAACTGATAATCCGATAAGAGTAAACCTCTGAAGTCCTACAATGACAGTAAATCTTTAGCCCTAGGATTTGTTCTAATACCAGACAAAAAGGTCTCATAAGAAGAGATCTAAACAGACCTGAATAATGAGCGCTGCAAGCCCAACCCTCTCTGCAGTCTCTTGTGGGTTCTCGAGTTCTTTAGTTGCTGAAATAGACAAAGGCAACTCTCTTTAACCTGCCTGACACTGCCAACATCACAGATAGAGGTGGAGAAAAAATCTGCCAAAAATGCATGCTGACAATTAAAACCAAACAAGTTCAGAGTGGGCACTTTACCTTCCTAGTTTAGGCTAATTTTTACTTTTCCTGCCTCATTAAAGAGAAGAAATAAGAATTTATTTTTCCTACAGATATGCCTTGTAAGATATTAGATATAGCTGACACTTATTTTTCTAAGGGAGATTAAATAAATCCATATGAGCTTGTGACCTGTATCTAATTTGTAACATAGGAACCTCACACAATAACCCAGACAACAGAATGATGATGCCTGAACTGTCCATGAAAAGAAGAGTAAGATTCTATTCAGATTATTAAAATAAACAATTCATGAGCAGCAGGTCTGTTACCTTGGGCATCTAAAAATCAGTGAAAGCTACTTTTGACATGGCCAGGGAAAGTTCAGCAGACAATTATATCACATTGCCTGAAAGTCTAGTAAAACATAAAAGTAGCATGTAAGGTATGACTTCAACAACAAAATGTGAATTTACTTTTAATGGAAGCCATATTCTGTAGCATCCTTAGTCGAATCTCATTTAAGACATCTTCCAGAAAAGTGACATCTCCCCTTCTTGTCTTCATTCCTTGGACTACTCCAAAGGGCACGTGCTGGCACCTGAAATGCACAGGCATTTAGTCAACAGAAAGCTAAAAATGAACTGGTAATCCTGAGTATACCAAAATATTCTTCCAGAGAGGAACACAAACTACCCTTCATGGTGAAGTTTTTAAAATTAATAAAATAAAACAAGATGTGACTTGTTGAAGCCCCAAACATACTAAGCAGAGAGCTTTATTTTATAAGATAACCAGATAACCACTAGCAGGTGATTAAACTACTAGTTGCTTTTAAAGAGGGGGATTCAGAATTCTGAAAATCTAGACAGTGATGGCAAATATCTAACAAAAACATACTATCAGAACATAAATTAATATAAAAATCAACTCCGCTTCTCCACCCTAAAACTTAAAACAAAGATCTGAAGTCTGAATAAAAATCTCTCTAGGTACATTTTCAGGCTTAGCTGACCTAATACATAGTGACCCTGGGCAGCAATTAAGAACCATGCAGACATTACCTTTCTGCCCAATCATATCCCATGATCTTCAGCATTTGGAATACTTGCTGAAAATGCTTTTTTTGCCCTTTATCTGTCTTGGGAAAAAAATATTTAAAATAAAAATACAGTAATAATTATACAAAACTAGGTTGGACCTGAATCAAATTAACAGTTTTGACAGACTAAAGTCACTGTCAATCAGTATGTTTAATATAAATATGAAAAGGGGATGCCTATAAAAAAGTATCTAAACTGAGTGCTCTACGAGAGGGAAATAAGGGCCATAGTACTCCATCAAGTCAAGAGGAAATATGAACTTTAATTTTCTGTGATTTCTATTTAAATCTCTCTCTCTCAGCTATTATGATGTCTATTTTCAAGAAGACCAAAGACAAACTTTAAAAAGATGTTCGAGTCAGGCATGGTGGTGCATACTGTAATCCCAGCTACTTTAGGGGCTCAGACAGGAAGATCTCAAGTTTGACATCTGGGCAACATAGCAAGACCCTGTCTCAAAATAAAATTTTAAAAAGTCTGGGGGTGTAGCTCAGTGGTAGAGAGCTTGCCACGGCATGTGGAGGGCCTTGGGTTTAGTCCCCAGTAATGAAAAATAAATAAATAAAAAGATGTTTGATGGCAACTTTTTTAATAAAAAGAGATTGCACATGAAATGGAAGGAAAGGGGAGAACAAACTAGATAACTCAGTCATTAAAACAAAACAAAACAAAACATTACTGACAAAACAGCTTGGATAAATCTCAAGAATATTCATTATAGTGGGCGAATAAAGCTGATCTCAAAAGGTTACATACTGTATGATTCCATTTATATTACAGGGTTAGGGTTGGAGGAAAACTAACTTTTTGGTGGCTGATCACCAGAAAGTATGCTTTGTGAAAGAAAAATTTCATGTTGTAAATGTGGTGATGGTTACATAAATCTATTCACATGATAAAATTTAATGAAACCCAACTCACAGATGAGAGGTGTAAAAATTGGTGAAATCTGAACAAGGTCTTTACAAATGTCAATGTCCTGATATCGAAAAGTACTATGATAAGATATTACCTTTGGGGATAGCTGGGTGAAAGGTACTGTTTTAAAACTTTTTGTGAGTTAAACTACTAGAAAACAAAAAATTATTTAAAAACAATTGCATTACAGTGCAATTTATTAATTTCACATAACAATTTTCCTGATTTATGCAATGTTTTTACTATAAAGCAATGTGAATTTTTTCATTTTTAAGTTAAAAAAAAAATCTTTCTAGGGACTGAGGATATAGTTCAATTGGAGAGTGTTTGCCTTGCATGTACAAGACCCTGGATTCAATCCCCAGCACCACACACACACACACACACACACACAAAAGTCGTTCTAAAATAGAGGTTGCCAGGCTGGGGTTGTAGCTCAGTGATAGAGCTTTGCCTAGCATGTATGAAGCACTGGGTGTGATTCTCAGCACCACATATAAAAAAGGTTGCTACCTGAACTATATTTAATGTTGAATTTTGAGTTTGACAAAATTATTTTTCTGTATTTTTCAACATGGTATATAATTTCTATCTCTGCTGTTTTCATGATGTAGGGGTCATAACCTTTTGATCTTTATTGTGATTACTTACCACATAAATCATTGTATCAAAATTATACTTGTCCATTCGATCTATAGCAGCTGCTATATCTCTGAAAAAATGGCCATAAATTAAGAGTTATGTAGATTTAATAATAACTAATTTTACCTATTTAATAACAACAAAACTTTTCTATTTAAGAACTACTATATTATCCAATAGCCCAAAATATAGGATACATGCTTGTATAGTCCTAATACATACATACTTTTGATACAAAACAGGTTTGGGAAAAGTAGTAATAAGAAAAGCTCTGGAGAAACAAATAAATAAGCAAAGCTCTAAAACAAGTAATAATAAAAACTATAATAGCTACAGGCAAAGTATCTTCTAGGTAAATGTTTACAAAAAAAAAAAAACACCTAAGTGTCACGTTTATGACAATTAAATAATTTAAATATAGATGATATAGTAGCGAAAGAGGTATCATCTAAGCACTCTTCTTCTAGTACTATTAAGGATCTTCAAAATCTTGGACTACTCAGAAGCCATATCTTATAGTGTATATTAAAAGTCCATAAGTCCTTTGATAAAAATTACACCTACCTCTTTTATCTCTAATTAAATACGAAGTATTTACTTTGAACCTAGTGTAAAATAATAAAAAGTAAACCATAAACTATAAAAATATAAGTCCAAGATTATTAAAATGATACTAAAGCTGAATATTAAAACTGTTTTGGTTAATACACAATATTGGAAGGATTGAAAAAAATTATTAAATCTTTTGAAATGTTGGAAGATTATCATCAGTACCCACCTCATGCACAGAATATGCATTCTCACTAAAGGCAAAAACTTTTTTCTGAGGGGCAAGAAAATCTTGTTCTTTATGCAGCTTAAATATGCTACAGTACACACAAATATACAGCAGAGCTGTGGCATTAAAAATTCATGAGGGTTGCAGTTAGGTAAACTATAGCTAACAAGATTCTTGAGAGGGATTATGATAATAAAAGGTTATCACAAAAATGAAGATTATCACAAAAATGATGTCACAACTACATAGTCCCATTATACTTTTGGTTTTAGCCAAGGACAAAATAAAAGAAACCTCTTGAAACAAAGAACAAAAGAAAATATAAGAAACAGTTCTAGGTTGAGTTTATAGAAACTGAATTTGAAAGCTGGAAGAAATGCCAGGTGATTTTAGTCCAGGTCTGCCACTTCATAAAGCAGGGAACCATAGCCTGGATAGGGAAGTGATAGTTGTGGTGCCAGAACAAAAAATCCATGTGTCAGACCTATGCTCTGTGCTTTTTGCAGTATTCTCCTGCACTTTTCTTTTCTGCTCCAACAACTCCTTTAATTCACATCCTCACATATAGATGTATTCTATAAGGAACCCAGTATAGCAAAGGGAGAATTATCTCCCCAAAGTAAAAAGAGAAAGTACAGGTGTTAAAGTAAATATATAGAAATATCTAGACATAATGAAAGGCTGAAAAAGATACCAGATCAGGGTAGCAGTGGGGACTCTGTCATACATCCTCTGTTCCAAGGAGACTTTTTCTTTTTCCCCAAAGTAATAGTATTGAAATTCTAGACCTAATGATAGTCCACAAAAACAGATCAAGATAGTTGTAGTCTTTCAGATATGAATTTTCATTCTGAATGGACATTTCTTTTAACCACTGGTCAAGGGATAATTTGCTGGCACAAAAAAATTTCTACCATATATATATATTTTGTGTCTAGAAAAAGTATGTGTCTCTTAAGACATAGGTTCTTCTCACTTCCCAACTCCAATTGCATGATGATAAAGGGAAATGTCCACAAGTAATAGAAACAGATGAATGTTCTAGGGACAATTAAAAGACTGGTTGTTTAAAGTTGTTTACAATAAATGATTATAGTTACTGCCAATAATAATATGACTTTATGCTACAAAAGTAGTTTGTGTAGAGGCTGGGGATGTAGCTTGACTAGTATGCATGAAGTTCTACGTTCATCCCCAGGACCGTAAAACAACAACAAAAGTGGTTTGTGACTTAGAATATAAAATTCTTGCCTGGGAGACACTGGAGTCTTTTACCAGCAGTGCTTGGGTATGGTCATGCTTGCTTGTATGACTATTTATTGTTCTGACTCTTTTTCCTACTAGATTTATCCCAAAAATAATGTTGGATTTAAACCCAGTTCTTACTGATCATCAGAGAATGTTCCCTTCCCTGAAATGAATCATGGAGATGGGTGAAAAAAATATACACACACACACATAAAAGCAACAGGCCTACATCTCTCTTGGTCTATTTTACCATAATCATAATGAGTTCTGGTATTAATGTCCATATAAGATGGTCTTTAATGTATGAGGACAGAACTAAGCTAACTTGGTCACCTTTTAGTACAATTGCCCACCATGTACAATTGTAAAAATACATAGTAGTTGATTATGAAGAAATTCAGTTTTATAGTTCGTAGAACAATGTATTCTAGTGTGGAAATCCTATAGATTTTTGAGGATGAAATGATTATTTTGGCATTAATCCTAGGAAAAGAACACCAAGTCATATATACGTTCCAATGTTTCCCCCTGCAGACACAACAAACCTGGTTGCATAGAGAGAAGTCCCATCACTTCGCATTACAGTACAAATTGAAGAGGGGTCACCATTCCCAGAGAGATCTACTATAGCTGTTCCTTTTCTAGAAATGCAAAAAAGGCAACTCTGAAACAAATTATAACTTCAAAAAGTACATCTATAACATCACCTCTGGCAAATCAAATAGCAATAAGCCTTTTCAATTCAACCTATAACAAACAATGAACAAAAAACCAAGAAGTAAGAACTCTGATTGAGAATCTATTAAAAGTGGGCATGGTGGCACATCTCTGTAATCCTAGAGGCTAGGGATGCTGAGGCAGGAGGATCACAAGTTCATAGCCAGCCTCAGCAACTTAGTGAGACCCTGTCTTTAAATAAAATGTAAAAAGAGCTGGGATGTGGCTCAGTGGTTAAGCACCCCTGGGTTCAATTCCTCGTATTAAAAAAAAAAAAAAAAAAAAAAAAAAAGTGGGTATGACATAATTAATGTTTGGTCATGATACACACACACACACACACACACATATTTTTTAAATTGTTTTCTTTCAGTTGTCAATGGACCTTTATTTTATTTATTTATTTATATGTGGTGCCAAGAATTGAACCCAGTGCCTCACACATGCTAGGCAAGTGCTCTACCACTGAGCTATAACCCCAGTCCATCCTATATTTTTAAAATCTGTAACACTGACTAAGTTACTCAGGTAAAAATTTTAATATGGCTAGTTTAAAAATGAGATTACAACTGAGTTTTAACTATGAAATATCATAAACTCTTTTTCTAATTGGATGTTATACATTAATATTAGGCTAACTTTTAACATGCTAGAAAGTATTCCTCAGCATTAAAAACCATAGAATTTTATTGTATTTTTGCTTGACCAAAAATTGAAATTGATTTTTTCTTTTGGCTGTACTGGGATTTGAATCCAGGATCTCACATGGGCTAGGCAAACACCTTGTTACATCCTCTGCCCTGGCCTCCCACTTTTTTTTTTTTTTTTCCAGAAAGGATATCACTAAGTTACCCTGGCTGGCCTCTAGCTTGGAATACTCCTTCCTCAGCCTCCTGAGCAGGTTAATTATAGGTGTGTGCCACCATACCCAGCTGAAAAACTGGAATTTATATATGACAATTTAAAACTTTTCCTTAAGAGCATTACTGATGATGCTATTAACTACATTTTTCATGTCTTCTTTATAAAGATGACAGGAGAAATTTTGCTTTGGGACTATGAAAAGTGACAATTGTAAGCAACTGGTATGCTTCTGTATTACAATTGCTTAGGCTCCTGTGATTTGCACTATTTCTCTGCTCAGCTGACAGGAAGCTAAAAGCTAAACTAGAGAGCAATTAGGCAAGCAAATGAAATATAAGCCATCTGAATTGGAAAAGAAGTTAAACAGTCTTTCTTCATAGGAAACAAGATCTTCTATATAGAAAATCCTAAACTGTTCACCAAGAAACTGTTAGAATAAACAAATTTAGTAAAGCTGCCTAATACAAAACTAACTAACAAAACCCAAAAGAATTTCTGTACACTAATAATGAACTAGCTGAAAGTGAAATAAAGAAAAAATAATTCCATTTGCAGTAGCATCAACAAATTTAAAATACTTTGGAATAAATTTAAATAAGGTGAAAGATTTGTACAGTGAAAATTATAAAATGATGCAAGAAATTAAGACAAATACCTGAAAAGATAATCTATGTTCACTGATTGGAACAATATTTTTTAAATGTTCATACTACAGATCTACAGATTCAGTACATTCCTTATCAAAATCCTAACATTTTTCATAGAAATAAAAATCCTAAAATTCCTATGGAAAAACAAAAGATCCCAAATAGCCACAAAACTCTTAAGCAAAGGAGAAAAAAGCTAGAGAAATTACACCAATGATCTTAAAATCTACTAAAAATTATAGTAACCCAAACAGGATTATATTGTTTCAAAAGAGACATAGACCAAAGGAACAAAAGAGAAAGCCTAGATAAAAACCACACATTTATAGTCAATTGACCTTCAACAGAGTGGGGAAAGGTCCATCTCATCAATAAATATTATTGGGAAAACTGGAAATTTACAAGCAGAATAATGGAGCTGGACCCTTATCTCACCCCATGTACAAAATGATTTAAAGACAAACAAAAGACCTGAAATTATAAAATTATTAGATTTCTTGCTTGTGATCCTAAAAGCCCAGGCAAAAAAAGTAAAAATAGACAAATGAAACATCAAACTAAAAAGCTTCAATCAACAGAGCTAAGGAAAACAATCAACAGAGTAAAGAGATAATCTACAGAATGGGAGAAAGTATTTGCAAATCATGTATCTGATGAGGGGTTAATATCAGGAATATATAAGGAAAACTCAAATGTCAACAGAAAGAAAACAAATAATATGATTAAAAATGTACAAAGGACTTGTAGAGACAGTTCTCAAAAGAAGACACGAAAGGCTAACAGGTATATGAAAAGGTGCTTGACATCACTAACCATAAGGGAAATGCAAATGAAAACCACAGTGAGTGCTCATCGACCTCTTAGAGCAGTTTTTATCAAAACAAAAAACAAGTGTTGGTAAGGATGTGGAGAAAAGGAATCCTTATATAATGCTGGTAGGATTATAAATTAGTACGTTACTGTGGAAAACTAATATAGAGGTTCTTTAAAAAAATTTTACAGGCAGAATTACACTATAATCCATTATGATCCACTATGATCTTACTTTTGGGTACACATCCAAAGGAAATGAAATCAGTATGTTGAAGGGATATCTGCACTGTCACATTCACTGCAGCTTTATCCATGATAGCCAAGATATGTAATCAACCCAAGTTGTTTGCTAACAGGAGATGGATATAAGAAATATGGCATATATACACCATGGAAAACTATCCAGCCTTAAAAGGAAAATCTTGTCATTTTGACAACATGGATAAGTCTGAAGAAAATCATGCTCAGAGAAATAAGCCAAACACAGAAAAACAAACTTATATGATCTCACCTATATGTGAAATCTAAAAGAATCTAACTCAGAAGCAGAGTATATACCAGGGATAGGGAATGAGATGTTAAAGGGTACAAAGTTGCAGTCAGACAGGAAGAAGGATCTGGAGATCTATCTATCATATGGTGACTATAATTAATAATAATGTATAATAAACTGAAAATTGCTAAGAGAATAGATTTTAAATGTCATCACAGCTGTGAGAGATGATTTTCAGAGAGTTCATTCTCATCACAGTCAAGTATGTTAACTAGCTTAAATTTAGACACTCAACAATGTATACATACATTAAGACATACACATACCATAAGTACATGCAATTTCTCTTTTGTCAATTAAAAATGATTTTTAAAAAATAAAATGATTCTACATATATATTAAATATATACAAGAAAACAATACCAGTAGGAATGCACTAACAACACCTCTGACTTTATTTCCTACCCTACTTCCTGATTTGCTCACTTTTACTCCTTAAATCCAAGCTTCCTTAAACCTTTTTTGAAAAGGATGGAGTTTTTTTTAAAAAAGATAAGGTTGAGTCTTAAGAAGTAGTTCTACTTCCTTTTAAGGTTACATCTTATCAGTTTGTGTGACTCAAGGCAGTTCACTTACATTTTCTGTGTTTCAGTTCTCTCTCATATAAAGAACAGATAATACCTTTTCTCCCACCCTTACCAGGCTTTTGCTATTACAGCAAAAGCATGTGGCAAAGTACTTTAAACAGAAGCAAAAAAAAAAAAAAAAAAAAAGTACTATGAGAAAAAGCCAGAACGGCTGCACCATGCATTTTGTTATCCTTATTGAAAGAATACAGCAACACCAATTTCAAAAAATGCGTAACTAAAAAAATCATAACCTGATCATACATCGTTTTCTGTAGGAGTCCTTTACTTTCCAGCAACTTTAAGACTTCTTGAGATTTTTCACGATAAAATGATTCTCCTGAATATTCATCAAAGTATATTCCTAAACGCTAAAAGGGTTCAGAAAGAAAACAATTAATGTTAGTTAAATCTCCAATTATCTTACAGTAAAACAAAATTAAGGAGGTTTTACAATCTGTAATGTAGATGGGGAAAATAAAAATTAGCTCAAGTTACTCCTATTAAAAAATTTTTTTTTTTTTTTTTTTGGTCCCAGGGCACTTAACCACTGAGCAACATCCCCATTTCCCTGGCCCTTTTTATATTTTACTTTGAGACAGGGTCTCAATAAGTTGCTTAAGGCCTCCCTAAGTTACTGAGGCTAGCCTTAAACTTGCAATTCTCCTGCCTTAGCCCCGCAAGCTGCTGGTATTATAGGCCTGCGCTACTACACAGGTCAAGTCCTTACAATGATACTGTGCTATTCAATATGTATATGACTACTTAAATTAGAATTAAATAAAATAGAATTTACTTCCTTAGTTGTACTACTCATCCTTCAAGAGCTGAAATGTGACATGTGGTTAGCAGTTACCATAATGGACATCATAGATACAGAATATTTCTATCATAGCAGAAAGCCATACTATATAGCCCTGGAGAATGGCCCACATCACGTCCCACCCTTGATCTTCTTTGATTTCCTTTCCTACTGTTCTTTATCTTGCTTATTTACTTCAGATAAGTAGACTTCTTACAAAATCTTTCCTCACACTAGTCACAGAACATATATGATTGATCTTACCATCTAACACCATCTAACAGACTATATATATTTCTTGTTTACTTCACTCTACCTTTAACTTGTTTTGCTCTATGCTACAATAAAAGGTCCATGACAGCAAAAATTTTGTCTTTTATTCATTGTTGAATACCTTCCCTAGCAAATGTTTATTAAATGAATGAATTTATAACCATCATATACAGGCCTAAGGAGGTAAACGAAGAAAAAATTAAGTGAAGGCATGATAAGAGAGAGGATAGGAAAACCAGACTGAAAAGAAGTATTAGAAAGTCATCTGACATCACCTCAGGATTATTTTGTAGCTTGAACTCCCAGCCCAAATAACAACATTAGAGTCCTCATTTCCAACTCAACCAGAAATCTATTCTTAAATATGAGCTTAAGCAGCAGCTTCACTAAGCAATAGTGCCAGTGAGTTGCACCATATCACAGAAGGGTTCAGGGGGCGAACAGGTACCTGGTAAATCCGAATGTACTCTTCAATGCTCAAGTCCCGAAATCTTTGCCACAGTGAAAGTGCTTGGATGTCACCCAGTTCTAATCGTTGGAAGAATTCATGGGCCAATTTTGCTATATTTTTATTGTCTGCTGCTTCTTTATTAACTTGTACATAAACCTAAAAGTATAACAGTATGTTAAGTGAAGTTCATTATCAGATATTATTATCTCCAGTGAAAAGAAGAAAGCAAAGCACAATTCAGAGATTTCTCAGTTCTTACTGTCCTCATAACAGAGGGTAACATTTTTTCTTCTTTTAGCCATAGGCCCTTAATAAAGCCTATAAACCTCTTCTCAAAATGTTTCTAAATGTTGGCCAGATACGGAGGTACACACATATAATCCCAACAACTCAGGAGAGTGAGACAGGAGGATTGCAAGTTCAAAGCTAGCCTCAGCAACTTAGTAAGGCTCTTTCTCAAAATAAAAATAAAAAGGGCTGTCAATGTGGCTTAGTTGTTAAGTATCCCTAGATTCAATCCTGGATAGACAAAACAAAAATGAACAAAAAAAGTTTCTAAATGCAAAAAATTCATGGAGTTACAAAGGAAAAATTACATTAAAATGCACTTAACAAAATAATTCTTAAAAATTTGTGATACAGTAATGGAAGAAAATGCCCATTTCTGATAGATAGTGAAAAAGCCAAAGTGAAGCTTTTTCTTCCCACCTATTCACAGGCCCCTGGGTGAAGAAAGTCTGGTTTACAATGAAGCTCACTATCATGTATAATTATGCACCACTACCACCACAACCCTGGTTTAGACTAAGTCATTTCCTGTCTCCTACCTGCAAAATGCTGATTTATTTGGTACTTGGAATTGAACCCTGGGGTGCTTTACCACTAAGTTATTTATTTTATTTTGATCTAGGGTGCTAAATTGCCTCAACACAATTCTCAGTATTGCAAAAAAAGGAGACAAATTGTTTTCTTAGAGAACTGCAAGTTGAGTCAAATTCTGAATGTTAAGAGAAATATTAAAGAAATTTATTAACTAAAACTTATCAATAAAGTCAAAACTTGCTAGGTAAAAAAAATTCACATTCATTAGTCATCAAATTTCTTCTCCTTAATACATTTTTAGTAGTGTATGAATAGTATTTGAACTCTATTTATCCTGTTTTAACATTTGGAATCTCTTTATTTTTATTTGGTGTATATATATATATATAAATATAAAATTCACATCCATTATGTCTTTTATCTTTATTCAAGAGTGATAATTATTAACTCCTTATAGATCAATATAAACTAGTGCCTAATAAACATACTGTTGAAAAAGTTTTTTTTTTTTTTTTTTAAATACTTCAGTGGGTAGAGGTATTTACTAAGCTACTAATGTATATTTTGTTCTTGCCAGGTGTTTCTAACCTTATTCTATGTAGAGGACTCAGGACACTGAGATAGTCTGAAGAAGCAGGGGTAGGGTAGAAAGGTGTGGCTCTGGGGAGAAAGCCGGGAAAGAGGTAAAAAGAATTACCTAAACTGGGCAGAGGATGGAGAACACTTCCAAGAGTAGCCAAAGCTGGGAAGTCCCTGGGTGATGGCAGGCCCTCAGAGGAAAATGGTTCCCGGTTTGCCTACACAGAGAGGCTGGCCTTTAGGCCAGTAGACCTGGAGCAGAACAGTGATCTCCCAGATGAACTCTGCCACACCAATAAAGCTGTGTGCCTCCAAGGCATCACACAGACTGGGGATGCTAAGCTTATCAGAGATCAGTGCGGACTGAATGCAAAAACAGTCCTCTATGACTGTCCTGGGATGCACATTAGAGTCTAGGGAACTCTGTGTGATCTAGGAGGCTGGGAGTCCCTAATAATGACTTAAATTGACTCAAGCTACTCTTAAAAGTGATAACTAGGCTCAGATTTAATTAGACTTATATGAGTGTTACTAAGGGGTAACATCCATGCTAACCCTAACAACAAAAAAGAAACTTTGAACTTTTGAACATATATGTTTTACAGAATAAGAACTTCTAACTGCATAAATATTCCCATGACAAAAATAAACATAGTCTTAAATAAATAATTTTCTTTACCTGAGCTTGAAAATCGTTTTGAAAGTCTAATATTACGTAGAAAATATTGTCTCTTGAGGAATAGATTCTACTTCCATGTTTTTAAAAGCAAGAGCAAGTAAACATTCTAATTAATCAAATTAGTGCTTTGATCTTGCACAATCTTTCTACTTACCACTATTTTTTCTTGGCTAATCATATAGGAAACTCAGGATCAGATCAGTTAATACAATATTATTAGTGATGCATTATCCTCCAATGTTCTAGTTTTCTTTACTAAATGCATATCACTGCAATTACCTCAAATCCTTTTAGAAAAGGGCAGGGGAGACATAATGATACAGAATCTGTGGGGATCAATTTGAACTTAGGAAAAATTTATACTATTTGTGCATACTAGAATACTGAACACACTTTATTGGTATGATATTTATCACTTACAAGAGGTTGTACTTATTTCAGAGGAATTCTTCTATGATCATCAAAATCCATATGAATAAACCTTCTTAAAAAGATCGATCTATCTATGTTTTTTTTTTTTTTTTGCACTGGGGATTGAACCCTGGGGTGCTTAACCACAGAGCTAAGTTTCCAGTCCTTTTTAAAAATTTTTTAGTTGTTGATGGGCCCTTGTTTTATTCAATTATTTATATGTGGTGCTGAGAATTGAACCCAGTGCTTCACACATGCTAGGCAAGCGCTATGCCACTGAGCCACAACCCCAGCCCTTCTCTCTCCCAGTCCTTTTAAATTTTTTTTTTTTTTTTTAATTTTTAGACAGGGTCTCTCTAACTTGCTGAGGCAGGCCTTGAACTTGTGATCTTCCTGCCTCAGCCTCCCGAGTTGCTGGCACTACAAGTACCACCACGACAGGCAGTTTACATATTCTTAAAGGTACTATGTAGGGAGTTATCAAATAGATTCTATCTAAAAAGAAAATGAGAAATGAATTTAAAGAAGTATTATTAAAACATAAAATGACATGTCAATGACCCAGATTTAATACAAGTTAACTTTTCACCATAAGAAATTACTCTATGATAAAAATAAAAAGGCTTTTTGACAAGTGTTCCAAACTTTACGACTAGTGTAAATTGTAAGTAGCAAATAAGTTATTTATCATCAGCCAATTCAAGGTGGATATGGGAACTGTTACAAATTTACTTTCCTGTTTCGTAACAGAAATAAACAAATTAAAGACAAGGTTTCAAATGCTGATCAACAAAAGCTCTGACTCTCTGTACAACACAGATGTCTGGTGAAAATAATGCAGTACAGGTAAAGAGAAAACCAGCAGTGAAACATTGGTACCAAAATGGAAATACAGTAAAGAAATGACTGAGTATTAAAAATCTATTGTATAATATTATGTCTAATCTAGGAGAGAACCCGAAACTGGGGGATACTGATCATGGCACAATTTAGAGGGAACTAGTCTACAAAATCTGCTAGTGTTATTCTGTTCCTAAAGGAAAATCTGAAAGGTATATAACAACATTAGAGTCTAGGGAACTTTATTAGGTAGAAAATATTTGCTAATTGAAAGACCCCCTTCAGTGTCTCCTATGGCATAGATAGTAACACAAAGTATCCCCATCTACATCTTAGATGATCAGAGTCAGGGATAGTGATTCTAACCTTGGTTTCTAGTGTACTGGTAAATTATGTCAGTAGTAGTTAAGCCAAATTCAACACAAATAAACCAGAAGGTTTAAACTACCCAAACTGAAGTGCTAACTGTGTCCCTGGAACACTACTAGAGGGTGAAAGAAAGAAAAATTCTATTTTTGTAGTGCAACCAAAGAAAAGATCTGGGTCTGGTCCTTCAGTTCATTAGTGAACTGAAAAAAGTTAACAAAGTATGCTAGATTCTAATACATAGTAATTAGTGTATCCTATAATAATAATAATTGTTAATCTCTGGATTAACAATTAGGTTTTGTATTGCACAACAGAAATAAAAACAAGGAAAGGAGAAAAAGAACTATGAGATAAAATCCATTCAAACATTTATTGCAAGGCATTGTGTCTGGGGCTGGGGGTAAAATATCAGGAAGAGCTGAGATTGTGGCTCAGCGGCAGAGCACTTGCCTCGCTTGTGTGAGGCACTGGGTTCGATCCTCAGTACCATATAAAAATAAATAAACAAAATAAAAAAAAAGATCAGGAAGACATGGATATTCCTCTCAAAGAGTTCACGACTAACTACAATTTGACAAGTTGAAAAAGTGGTTCAACTAAAGCTTTGAGAAAGCAGATGTTCACAAATAAGAAAGGGTAAATGTAGACTGACCTAAAAGTTTACTTCCCATAAGCTACTACTGACATAATTTACCAACAGACTAGAAACCAAGGTTAGAATCACTATCCCTGACTCTAATCATGTGAGATGCAGATGGGGATACTTTGTGTTACTATCTATGCCACAGGAGACACTGAAGGGGGCCTTTCAATTAGCAAATAAACACAATTGTTATATGACTTTCAGATTTTCTTTTAGGAACAGAATAATATTCTTTAATATTTGCTTAAAGCTTTAAAAAAAAACCACCATAAAGAAAAAGAAAAATGTCCTTATTACTCTGAAAGTCAATAATGAAAGATTTCCATAGTTGACAATTAATTCATAAATGAAAACTGGATCTGCAAAAATTAGCATACATGTAATAGTGCTATTATAGGCTCTGCATGTTCTCTGTGCTGGAGGAGAACAGGTGAGTGTTCTCATAGGTGTATTTGCTTAATTCCCAATAGCAAGATGGTGTCTACCTCAATTGCCTTTTATCATCTGTAAAACACTGATCCCTGATTCAATTAGGCACAAGACAAATAATGAAAGCAACATCAATGTTCCTTGAGCTTTTAGTTGTTCACAGGAAAAGTCCTGCCCTTACTTCTTCCTTACAAGAGTATAGATCAACTAATAACCTCTAACATAGGTGCCAATCTCCCACTATTTCTATTTTTTGGGTACTAGGGATTGAACTCAGGGGCACTTGACCACTGAGCCACATCCTCAGCCCTATTTTGTATTTTATTTAGAGACAGGGTCTCACTAAGTTGCTTGGCACCTCGTTTTTGCTGAGGCTGGCTTTGAACTTGTGATCCTTCTGCCTCGGCCTCCCAAGCCACTGGGATTACAGGCATGTGCCACTGTGCCCGGCTAATCTCCCACTATTTTTATGAATCTCAAAAGGCAGAAAACATACTAAGCAGCATAGAAAGAAACATGCTTATGCTTCTTTGGAGTTTGAGAATAAATATGACTAAAATATTTAAAATATTACAGGAAAAAAAAGGCTTACTATTTGCAGGATTAAATACAAACTTTAAATTGGGTTAGGAGAGAGATATGAAGAGTAACTTTCAGGTGTCAGACTCTACTATAAATCTATAATACAAGGTCTCCAAGCAAATATTTGTATATTTTTGTGCCATGCAGTATCTCTATGGACCTGGATTTGATAAAAAGTTTGCTAAACTTATGGTAAAAAATACCATTATTCAAACGCTAAAAACATAAAGTAGTAAAAATTCCAGGCACTTTATTTATAGATAACCAAGAATCATTAATTTTTTAAAAAAATTTTTAGTTGTCAAAGGACCTTTTTTATTTATTTATTTTTATGTGGTGCTGAGACTTGAACCCAGTGCCTCACACATGCTAGGCAAGCACTCTGCCACTGAGCCACAACCCCAAGCCCAAGAATTATTAATTTTTAAATTCTTATCTATCAACAAAATTTTTAAAGGGAAAGAGAAATCTGGTTAATATAAATCAAAATATATACATTTAAAGTATAGTGAGGGCATGGACTCCGGAGAAAATGACAAACCTTTAAAGGTCTTTTAGAAGTAGAATTTGTTCAATTATAATGGCAAAGCCAGTGGCAAAAGAAAATCATATAATGAAAAGGAAAATGAAAAACTGCTCTTGATGGCTCTGTCTGGGAAGTATAGTATTATTTTGGCAAATGCTCTTCCTGATGCACAGGCAGAACATCTTTTGATCTGACTCCCTGGTATGTCACATTGGCTGGCACTGTATCTGTGTTTTCTTTGTGAGGTCCAGAAACAGCAGAGAGAGCAATTGGGACAATGCAAAGGAAACTCATCCATGGAAATTACTCAGAGAGGAAGAGGTTTACTAATGAACTCCAGGAAAGATGGAAGCTAGAAGACGGAGAAATAAAGTATCAAGAGGACTAAATGAAGAATAGAAAGGAGTTTACATTGGGTAAAGAGCCAGGAAAATGAACTGGATGACAAAGGAAAAAAGTATACACAAATTCAGAGGGAAACACATATGCCTTTCTCTACACTAAAAAAACAAAAAAAACCCACAAAACAACAAAACCAGAAACATTCATGTGTTACAAGTCTAAATGAATGACACTTATTACTATTAGAAAGCTGCAATACATCAACTGACAGAAAACAGAGAAATTTCTCAGTGTCTAATCTGCTATATCCTATGTGTTTATTCTAAGAAGATTCTATACCTGGGAAATAATGTCTCTGACCAACTAAAAAAGTAATAACAGAAACACTTGGATTTGGAAATGAAAAGAACAAGCTAGAAATATGAAAGCAATACTTTTGATTTTTTGTTCCTTATTTTAAGGAACATATTTCTAAACCTCTAGGATCAAACTGGCTACCAAAAAAAACTTTGAAGCATTTTCTAAAATGGCTTCTTGCCAACTTACTTCAAAGAGATGCTGCAAAGGATTGGACTGGAGTTTTTCTTCATAGCCAAACAGTTGAAAGCCTGTTCCCAGAAGACCTACCATGATAATCCATAAATGAAAAATTATAAAATGGAACAGTAGAGAATAGTTGTGGCAGGAAAAGGGACAGTTGTATAAGATCAACATCTCATATTTATGTACCCTGAGAACTACTGCAAAATACATTTTCAACCTTCTGTTATCCTGTAAATGGATACAAGTTAAATTCAATATATTGAATGACATAGGCAATACTGTATAATAAATAGATCACTGATATTAATTCACAGAAACCAAGACTATGAACTCAAAGGCAGGGTCTATAACTATTTTCATCTTTGTATTAACAGTGTTCAACAACTCCCTAGCAGACAATAAGAAACATTTATTGAGCAGTTACTCTGAGATGCTAGACACTCAAAATTTGTGAAAACAAACAGATGGGAAATGATTTAAAACTTTTTTTGAACTTGTAGGTGTGAAAGTAACACACAAAAGTAGTAACGGGCTTGGTGTTATAATGTTAGTCCCCCAGCCCAGGTAATAGACATTAAACTTAGTTGCATTCTGCCGTTAAGCTATATCCCCAGCCTTATTTGTTTATTTATTTATACATACATACACATACATATACGGGGAATTTAACCCAGGAGTGCTTTATCACTGAAGTACAACCCCAACCCTTTTTATTTTAAGACAGGATCTCGCTAAGCTTAGGGCCTCACTAAGTGGCTGAGGCCTCAAACTTGCAATCTTCCTGCCTCTGCCTCCCTTAATATTAGTTTTTAAATTGAAGAAAACCAAAAAAGATAAAATTCAAAACATACCTGATTACTTCTTCCATTCACAATAGCTAAATGACAAATTCTTTTATTTAAACACACATATTTTCAGTCTTTGATGATAAGTTAAGGGTTCAGGAATAGTGCTATTCTAAATTTTTTTTAATACTAAATAAGGTTTGCAAACTAGGAATGGAAATTCCCATTGTGGATTGTGAATATATATATTTTTAAGAGATTTTTCGGCTAGGGTTGTAGCTAAATGGTGGAGTGATTGCCTCACATGCATGAGGCACTGGGTTCAAAATTCAGCACCACATAAAAATAAATAAATCAAATAAAAGTATTGTGTCCATCTACAACTAAAGATATTTAAAAAGAAGAGATTCAGCCAGGCGCGGTGGTGAATGCCTGTAATCCCAGAGGCTCAGGAGGCTGAGGCAGGAGGATCACAAGTTCAAAGTCAGCCTCAGGAATTTAGCGAGGCCCTAAACAACTCAGGGAGACCCTGTCTCTAAATAAAATACAAAACAGGGCTGGGGATGTGGCTGAGTGGTTCAGTACCCCTGAGTTCAATCCCCAGTACCAAAACAAAGAAAGAAAGAAACAAACAAAAAGAGATTCTTAAAAGGTTTTAATATAAACTAATTTCAGTTTGAAAGGACATATGTAGCCTGAGCTAAGAGAAATATGTAGTTTATTATTTTGAAAGTCAATCTGTTTCTACAACAATGTCAATTACAAAACTTCAGAGCTAAAGGGCCTTGCTGGAGTACATTTTTCAGGCTCAGAAGAATGTGTAATGCTACTAAACATGGTTATATAGAATGCCTTTGGAACTTAGAAATAATAACTAAAGCAAAAAAAAAAAAAGGGGAACAGGGCATGGAACAATGAGTAGTGTGTTCTACAAAAGCAGAAATGGGAATAAGTAAAGGCCATTCCATTTAACATTCAATCTAATCATGTTTAAAAACTAATTCTGTTCTCAGGAGCCATCTGCCAACTTTCAAATGGGGATAGCTGAAACAGCAAAATTTTAACTCCTGAACAATGATGGTTATAATGGAAATGTTGACAGATCATTAACCACAGTAGTCCTTCAGAGAAAAACCACTATAATAAAATCCTGCAGCTAAAATTTAATGAAAACCATAATCACATATTTGCTAATGACTGTGAAATGCCTAAATCAGTTAAACTAATATAATGCGGATACCATCTATTAGTCTGACTGTTGAGCCTCAGGCCTAAACCTTTTACTACCAGCTGTTGTGAACTGCAGGTGCATTTTCAAAATCCAGGGCTTTTTTCCTGATTCCTTCACAGTGATATTAGGAGTACTATTAACAGAGTCAACCCCTTCTAGTGTCAGAAAAAGATTTTTATTACCTAAAGGATAATATTCATAAGAGAAGATCATGATAAATCTATGAAAATATTTCTTCAAATGAACTAGACTTTCTTTTAGAAACTATGAATTCATTTCACTGGATGTGGAACATAAGAGTATCAGTGAATTTCAGAACTGGCAATGTGCATTGCATACTTTCATACAAGTGTTAAAATATTACCTAGTTTTTTTTTTTTTTTGATTAGTATTGTAAAACACTTCCCAGGAGTTTCGTTCATCATTCTGAGCGCCTCTTATGTGCCAAACATTACAGATACAAAAGTAATTAAGACACAGTCCACACTTTCACAGAACTTATCTAGCAGGGGAGAGAGGCCCACAAAAGAATGCAATAAAACAAAAGACTATATGAGTGGTGCTGGCAGGCAAGGGTGTGTCTGCACATCAGAGAATGCTTTACAGATGTGGACAATATGGCTGCATCTTAAAAACATGAAAAGTTTGTATTCACATGTTACCAGCCCCCACTACTGCTACCATAATATCTTCACTAATCTTGCCCTCCCCAAGGATGACTGGTTTATATGAACTAGGAATAGTTCCTAGTTAACTGGCAAGAAGAAAGATAATTTGTGGTGCTTAACTGTTTGGGCTTCTTTTTTCCTTTTGACTTCCATCCACTATCACTGTATAGTTACTACAACCAGCCTTATTTGTTTATTTATTAGTTTAGTTTTGGGGAAGCCAAAGTATCACACTTTTTCTTCTAGGTCATTTGTCCATGGTAATAACAGATCCCATTTCATGTGGGCTAAACCTCAACAGATTTATAAAAAAAACAGGGATGTGGTTGAGAAGGGTGTATATAGCTAGATTTATTTCTGCCCTCACCAATAAATGTATGCTACTTTTCTTTATTAAAACACTGATGGTGGAATATGATGATCCTTATTATCCAAAGTACATGTATGAAGACATGTGGTGTGAATATACTTTGGTTACAACCAGATATATGAAAAATTGTGCTCTATACATGTAATAATAATTATAATACATTCTGCTGTCATATATAAACAAAACAAACAAACAAAAACACCTATCTACCTCCCTACCTCAGGTCTTGCTCTAATTGTGAAGCTTCCTTCCCAAAACATGTGTGGTGAGAATTAAGTCTTAATAAATAAAATAAGATTATGGGCTGGGGATATAACTTAATGGTAGAGCATGTGCTACACATATCTGAGGCCCTGGGTTCGATACTTAGCACCACAAAAACAATGTAAGAAACCACGTAGTGCACACTATTTCATGCAGTGAGATTGTGCCAATAATCTGTTCAGATGAAAAAATGATGAGATATTTTAAAAATTAAACTTTAAAATGAAATGAAAAAAAATCTCAAATGCACTTACCGAATTGCATACCCCAGTCTCCAAGGTAATTTATTCTTGTTACTTGATGTCCTAAAGCTTCTTTGAGATTTGCTATAAAATTTCCTAGTAATCAGTAAAAAATATAGTTTCTTATTTTTGTTACTAATTTTGGCTTAAGAACTATATGCTTCTCTATTATCAAAGTATAACAAAAAATTCTTTTCATAAAATTTGCCAACTCAATTTTTTTCATTAAAAAAATATTGTTTTCATCTATGCTACGAAAGGAAGTAAGGAATTACTTTTAGGAAAGTAATTTTTCAAAGAATCTCACCATTTTTACAAGAACTTTTTTCCTTCTTCTTCTTCTTTGAACCCAGAGGCACTTTACTGCTGACCTGCATACCCACCCCTTTTTACTGTTTTTTTTTTTTTTTTCCTCTTTTTAGGTACTGGGGATGAAATTCAGGGGCACTCAACTACTGAGCCACATCCCCAGCTCTATTTTGTATTTTTTAAATTTAGAGACAGGGTCTGAGTTGTTTATTGCCACACTTTTGCTTTTGCTGGCTTTGAACTCTCAATCCTCCTGCCTCAGCTTCTCAAGCCACTAGTATCATAGGCATGCTCCATTGTGCCCAGCTTTACATTTTATTTTGAGAAAGGGTCTTATGAATTTGTTTGAGGCTGGCCATGAACTGCCTTAGCCTCCTGAGTTAGTGGGATTACAGGCATGCCCCACTATGTCCAGCTAAGAACAGACTTTTCAACAATGTTACTAATGTAGATTGGGACACATATTAGAATAACTGCGATTCCTAGTCAATTCCAAGAATAGAAAAATAACAGAATTTTAGTGATTAACAAGAAATAAATAATTTGGCCAGGCACAGTGGTGCTAGCCCATAATACCAGTGACTGGGAAGGCTGAGGCAGGAGGATCCCAAGTTTGAGGCCAGCCTCAGCAAGTTAGCAAGGCCCTAAAAAACTTAGTAAGACCCTGTCTCAAAATAATAAAAAGGGCTGGGGATGTAGCTCAGTGGTAAAGTGCCTGTGGGTTCAATATTGACAAAAGAAAAAGAAATATATTATTTGATTATACCCTAAGAACATGGGGAATAAATGTTCTATTTTTCTAAATAGCTTTTTCAATATCTTTCAATCACTATAGTCCATCCTCTGCATCCTTAACAGTATGCAGTAGTCCAAGGCTTTTACCTTCATGTACTGCTGATGTGGTTTAATGAGACTCAACATCTGTTTAACTCTCCCTTTGGTATGCCCTTATGTACTGAAGAGGCTAGAAACCTTTTTTTTTTAAAGTGTATTTCCCAGATTTTCTTGTGGTTAGGGTTCCAGAAATCCTCTAGGTTTGGGTAATCAAACAGACTTTGCATGAGATTTAGAAGGGGAATGAATTACTTCTATTTTTTTTCTGACAAGCACAGTTGTAGGTTTTGTTTTTTTGTGGCACCACTAACAGAAGTGCTAGTGTCCTCTCGTGACATTTAAGGGAGTTGAAAGAAAGGTTATAAGGTTGCTTCTTTTGCCTATATGTATTTTAGAAAACATGACACAAGCAGTAACAGTCTTTCAATTGTGGCCATGTCAGTATACTATTTTCCACTCTCTCCAGTCCTGGGGATTGAATCCTGGGGTTGTTCTAACATCAAGATACACCCCAGCATGCATCTCCCCATCCTCTGCAAACACTGTTTAATTTTTTGGGACAGGGTCTCACTATACTGCTGAGGCTAGCTTCATACTTGCATCCTTCTGCCTCAGTCTCCCAAGTCACTGGGTTTACAAGTGTGTGCCACCACTCTGGGAAGTCTAGAGCAGTAGAAGTGACAGCAGAAGAGCTAGGAGCCCCCTTAATAATCAACCCCGATGATGTAATTATGAGCTCCATTTTTGTCGGCTCAATCAAAAGCTTCTTCAGCTCTCCTAACAACTTTGTAAACCACTCAATATCACATAATAAATCCTTTCCTGATTTAAGTTAAGAGTCAATTTTGTTTTCTGCAAATAAACCCTCACTGATACATGTACCTGACTTAAATTACTACAGCTATTGTCTTTGGCAACTTCTCTATTTCTAGACCATCCAAATCTACATAGTCCCAGCAACAAGAACCCACTTCTTCAGCTACAACTCAGATAATGTCTATTTTGCTACTATCTTATCTATATGTTATCTTCTATATTCAATTAAATGTCTACACCTAGGCTTTTGGAATTAGACAAATTTTAAGTCCTGGCTACAATACTTACTAGCCATGTGATCTTGGGAAAGTTACTTTTGGTATTTGAGTTTCTTGATCCATAAACCATATTAATAGTACTTTAACACCAGGGTTGTTGTGACATTAAGTGAGGAAATACATGAAAACACTTGGAATGGTAAGTTCTCAATAAGTAATACCTCTTCTTGGTTCAAATATTTTCTTTAACTATTAAAACAACTTTACTGTACCCTACCCATCATTTATTTACTCCTACATTTTTCTACTTACTCATGTAACTTTTCTTATATAGTTCATTTCTCATATTCCTTTCATCAAGTCTTATTATTTCCTCTCTTAAAATGCTGCTCAAAAACTCAATGAGAGTTGACCCTATATCAGTGATACTCTATGACATACATATTAATTCCACCAATTTTTAAAAGTATTCAAGTATGAGTTAAGAGACTCTCTTGAGCATGCAATAGATTTCTATTCTAGAAGAGAGACTAGATGAGATAGATTTTAAAGTGCTTTCCATTTCTAATATAATATAAAACTCTAAGTTTTAAATTGGACTTCTGTAAAATGTAATGCTTTAAATAAATAAAACCATATTATACACTGAAGCATTACGCTATGCAGTATTATGGTAATCTCTGTTTAGAATAGTCTTGTTTTAACTTCCTGTCTTGCATATTTCAGTTAGTGCTCACTTTACTGAGATTTTCTTTCTTAAATATATGAAGAAAAAAATCTGGAGGATTACTATCATTCCCACATAACTATTTTTATTTTGCATCTTTCAGTTCTCCATATGCACACACATTTTTTAAAAGTTAAAATCATAACATAGATGCCAGTTAAAAACGATTTCTAAGTTAATCTTTGGTTTTGAAATTATTTTTTAAATTTCTAAACCAATTCTTCCCATTTCATGTAATATTTAAGTTGCATTAGGCTCATACTGATTTAAATTTTTCTGTCCCTCCTTTTCATTTATCATTAAACCATTATACTGTATTTACATATATTTTCCCAAAGGCATGTTTGGTATTTTATGTGAAAGTAAGCACTTACCTATGATGGTGGAACGCAAATGTCCAACATGAAATTTTTTGGCAACATTAGGTGAACTGGAAATAATTGCAAAAATTATTATTTTTTTTTATTCTAAGAAAAAGAGTTCTATGAATTAATTAGGTCATGCTTCCATAGATTGACATAATTAGGTACTAGGGACTTTGGCAATTTAGGGCAGAGAAAAGGTAAAAATTAGACATGTAAAGATAAATTAGAATTCAGAAAGAATCATCTTAGTGACATTGATCCTGTGGTTCATGAATTAATAGAATACACAGAAATATCTCACCTATGAAGCAGATATATTTAAGGATTGATTTAAAAGACTAAGTTCAGAGATAGTTTTGATTAACAAACAATACAGAGCACTGGGAATTGAGTTTAGTGTACAAGTTTTCAAATTTTTATTCTCTTAAAAAGTGCTGAGGATCCTCAAAAGCTGAGAAAGGAACCATCATATGACCCAGTTATAGTACTCCTCAGTATTTATCTTAAAGAATTAAAGCCATTATACTATAGCAATACATGCATGCCTATATTTATAGTAGCACAATTCACAATACCCATACTATGGAACCAGTCTAAATGTCTATCAACAGATGAATGGGTAAAGAAAATTTGGTATATATACACAGTAAAGTTTTATTCAGCATAAAGAAAAATGAAATTATGTCATTTGCAGGAAAATGGACGGAACTTGAGAACACTATGTTAGGTGAAATAAGCCAGACTCAAAAAGTCATGGATTGAATGTTTTCTCTCACATGTGGAAGCTAGCAGAGGAAAAAGGAAATGGTGGTGGTAGGAAATCTCATGAAAATTAAAGGGAGATCAGAAGAGTAGAGAACAGTGACCAGGGGGAGTGGGGAGGGAGATGGAGAAGGTAAGAGAAAATACTAGAGAATGATACTGGCCAAATTATATTGTTATACTGTATGCATGAATGAATATGTAACAATGAATCTCACCACTATGTACAACAATAAGGCATCAATAATAACTATGGATAGAAGTATTAAGGAACCCAAAGAAATTTTGTTCATGAGTTATATATGCTAATATTCACTGTATCAGAAAAAAATTTTAAAATGTAAAAATATTTTTTAATGAAACCTCTCAGAATAATTAGGACTGATTCATCATTCCAAATTCTCAATCAACAGATCAATCACTTCTATGTGTGCTCAAGAAGCTGACTGAAATCAATCATTTAACTATGGTAAATGCTTCTAGAGGACTTATTTTCTGCCATGCATTTTACATGCATTAACTCATTTAATACTCCAAACTGATCTGTTTTGTGTACACTTAAAAATGTCATTAAGTTTTTCAACATAAAGAAGATTCCAGCTAACATAGCTGGTAAATGAGAGTTTAAATTTTGTTTGGTCTCCAAGGCTTTGTTATAAACTCTTTTAAAGAGTATTATAATTTAAAAACTTGATTCCACAGATATGTGCATACAATTACAGCATTACAAAACTACATATATGTTCATTCAAGCATTTAGGAAAAAAGTAAATTTCATTCTATAGACTTGAAAAAATACACAATCTATTATTTACAACCAAAAGAGAAAATCAAAGATTGCATTTATTCTTGCCTTACAGCAGTCAGAAAACAAACAAAAAAATTGAAACACTGGTTTCCAAACTGGACAACAGGCAATTAAGAACTGTAATCAGAGAATGAGAGCAAATAAGATCAGTCACTGAACTGTATCGCATTAATGTCTTCCCAGTAAATTTGTGGGACACAGCAAAAGCAGAAAAATCTGTAGCATGAAATGTTTATATTAGACAAGAAGATTTTAAATCAATAATGCTTGTTAAGAAATTAGCAAAAGTGGAAAAAACTAAATCCAAAGTAAGCAGGATAAATGGAAGTAATATAGATAAAGGCAAAAGTCAATATCATGGAAGAAACAATAGAAACACAGTTCTATAGCATAATTGTGGTGGTGATCATACAATCTATACACCTTTGCCCAAATTCATCAAATTATATGGTGAATTGTATTTGGATACTTATAATATCTAAAAAAAAAAAAAAAAAAAACTTTCACAGATCTTTGTGGTTTTTTCCTAAGATTAAATAGAAAAATTGAATCTATCTACATCTTCAAGCTTTGACAGAATGTCCACTGAAATCATCAATTCGTCATTTTCTTACATCACATTCCTCCTGAGAAAGGAATACAATAAAATGGAAAAGATAAATTCAATTCCTCAGGCAACAAAATAACCATTATGAGTTACAATTTGCTAAATCATTTTCACAAATAATTTACTTACTTTTGTTAAATTATTTCATGTAATTATTTTAATTTTATAAGAAAGAACAAATAAGAGATGAAAGAAATAAATTGTCCCATTTAAGATCACTGCATCAATTACTAATAGAACTGCTACTCCGACTTCCCAGATTCCCATTTTACTAATTAGACATGCCTAATCTGTTTTTTAAGAATAACAGCTCACATTTTGAAACAGCAGGCTGGAAAGGGACCTGAGAAAAAGGAAGAAAGAAGAGAAAATGCTGCCCCAGCTAACTGTACTCCAGCAGATATGATCTGTACTGAACGGGGAAGGCTAACTTAGAAGAGAAGCAACAGTAATTAGTTTCAAGTCTTATACCAAGTCTATGAAAGACAGCCATGTACCCAGGCACTTTATCATACTGCTCCTAGATCTGACAAAATAACATGACAACTTACACTCTGTTAGGGAGGCAGTAAAAATATATACAATCAGAGTTAGCTCTATGAACCTGGGCAATTTACTTAATCTAGTATTATCATCTTAGTTTAGGGGAAAGTCTCTTGAAAACCAAGATTACAATTTTTGGTTTTTTAGAGAAAAATTCCCTGCTCTGTATTCAAGATACTATATATTTTTTTAAAAAAATTATCCCACATCTCTCGTTTTCAAAAGAAATTCAAGAACATTTTTTTTAAATAGTAAATTTTGAACCTGTTCCCCACCTGCTGTCTCTACTTTGAAATCATAATGGTGACTGCTGGAACATATGGAAAACTTCTAAGGGAGAGAGGAGCAATGACTCCCAACAACGAAAGATAAAAACCATCAGAGAGAAATGCTAGCTGATAAGATAGGCTCTGCCTTCACCACATTCAAATGCTCACTTGAACAAAATTCATCCTTCTTTAATTGCTTTAGGAAAAAAGCAGAGAGAAGTAAATCCATAAACAAACTGCCATACAAAAGCCTACAAATACATAACTCAACAAGAACAGGTTATCTTTAGATGTTTCTTAAAAAGAAAAAGAAAAAAAATACTGTATGGGAAACATAAACTTAGGAAAAAAGCCAGGAAATCAGTGAGGAAAGGTATTTTGAGAACTCAGTTGGGGAGAAGGGATGGGGAAGGTGAAATAAAAATGCAGAAGATGTTAAAAGTGAGGACCAGTGGCAATTTTTCAAGTTGCAAGAAATTTACAATGCTATTATTTGAGGGTTAAAAGCATGGTAGTAGATTCTATACTGCAGCCCTCCTAGTTTTCTTTTACCTGTTGGTTAGGTAATCTAAAGGAGGTTAACAATAATATGGTACTAAGTACCTCCCCAGAGAAGAAAACTGTGTCCTTCCTCAATTTAAAAGACATGAATGAAAAATAATTATACATTGCCACAGATTCTTTGCCATTTTCACCATTAAGAGATATAGCATACTTTCTTCCCTCTGAACCTGGAGGTGATCTTGTGACTTGCTTCAATCAGAAGACTCAGAGAGTGATGTTCTAGATGCTTTCACTTAAGAGTCCTGAACTCCTTTGTAAAGAGGCCTGGCATATTGCTGGAGAGAATGTGGACAGAGAGAGAAGCCTGGACAGATAAGTTAAATCAATGCACTACCTTAGATTTCTAGCCTCACTAAAATCTCCAGATGACCAGTAGTTAGTTATATAAGTGAACTCAGACAAGTAGAAGAATCACTGCATACATCTAGTTCATATGGTTCATTTTAATAGTTCATCCACTAAAGTGGTTGTTGGCACTAATCAATATCTGGCAAACATTTTCTTAAACAGAAACTATTTTTAATAGGCTTTTGGGCCATGTGATCTCTGTCTCAACTACTAAATTCAAATAGTTCTACTCTGCTCACCTGCCTCTGTAATATGAAAGGAGCCATTGTAGATGAAATACAAAGGAATGTGCATGACTGTGTCTTGATTAAACTATTTACAAAAACAGGTGGCAGTGTATTTTGTGTGTGTGTGTGTGTGTGTGTGTGTGTGTGTGTGTATGGTGCTGAGGATTACAATGCAGGGTTGGAAATGGTGGTGGAATATGATGGACATTATTATCCAAAGTACATGTATGAAGACACAAATTGGTGTGAATATATTTTGTTTATAACCAGATACATGAAAAATTATGCTCCATATGTGTAATAAGAATTGTAGTGCATTCTGCTGTTATATATAAATAAAAAATTAATAAAAAACAAACAAACAAACAAACAGGTGGCAGGCTGAATTTTGTCCATGGACTAAAGTTTGCAAATCTCCTTTTAATGCTGTAGTGCTTTCTTATTCAAGAAGAGAGGACTGAAAGAACAGGCCACTTTCTTAGAGAGATGGATTTATTGTAGCTCTTCTCTGGTATGAGGATGGATATAGGAAGTCCCTTTCCTCTTCGTCATGCAACAAACATTTAAAATCAAATTTAAATATGATGGTGCTACACTGAGAGTGTAAGATTCATCTTACGCTGGGTTTGATCCTCAACACCACCATCTGCTCCACAGGAGCAGTAGTTCACTCAATTAGTCCCATCATAAACTGTTATGGTTTGGATGTAAGGTGTCCCTCAAAACCTCATGTGTGAGACAATGCAAGAAGGTTCAGAGGAAAAATGATTGGGGTATGAGAGTCTTAACCCAATCAGTAAATTTATCACCTGATGGGATTAACTGAGTGGTAACTAAAGGTGGATAGAGTATGGCTAGAGGAGGTAGGTACTTGGGGGCGTACCTCTGGAGTATATATTTGTATCTGGCAAGTGGAGTCTCTCTCTCTCTCTTCCTTATCATCATGTGAGCCACTTCCCTCTGCTATACTCTTTTGCCATGATGTTCTGCCTCACCATGAGCCCAAGGAATGGAGCTGGCTGTCTATGGACTGAGACCTCTGTAACCATAAGCTCCAAATAAACTTTTCCTCCTCTAAAATTGTTCTTGTCAGGTCTTCAATCATAGCAGCAAAAAAGCTGACTGAAACATAAACTGTCGAATCTGATTCTTATAGAACTTACCCTTTCTAAGAACAATAATGAGTGGCAGATAATACACATGTGGAATCTGAAAAAACCCACTCTCTCTGCTTATCCAGTTGGTGATCATAGCTAAGTTTAAAAGTTATTATTATAAATTACAATAAGGTAGTAAACATAAAATATTTCCCATATTGTTTCTTAAAAATTCTCCACAAGAATAAATACACAAGAAGACAAAAGGCCCTAGCAAGTTTCATCTTTTTAAGTGAAAAAGCAGTTCATCAAGACTTTTTATCATTTAGGAAAAAAAAAAAAAAAATACTATCTCATAGTTTTCTTGAGCTGTCAACCTGTCAGCTATACTACGAAGTTGTTAGTTCTTAGTGTTCCCTTTATATTTTCGGTTATTTCAGAACAGTACAAATATTTGAGAGTTGTACTGACAGTATATTAGAAAGTAAAATGAAGACTATTTAGAGGCATATTAAAACTTCTAGCTATTTTCTGTTAATCAAAAGAATATATTACAGAGGCTGGGGTTGTGGCTCAGTAGTAGAGCTCTCGCCTAGCACATGTGAGGCGCTGGGTTTGATCCTCAGCAACACACAAAAGGTACTGTGTCCAACTACAACTAAAAAAAAAGAATATACCACAAAAACTGCAAGGCTGTATTCTCTGGTAATCAGCTTACTTTAAAATTCTTAAAAAAATGGGGCTGGGGATGTGGCTCAAGCGGTAGCGTGCTCGCCTGGCATGCGTGCGGCCCAGGTTCGATCCTCAGCACCACATACAAACAAAGATGTTGTGTCCGCCAATAACTAAAAAATCAATATTAAAATACTCAAAAAAAAATTCTTAAAAAAATGAATAAATAAATCTAGATATTTTTCAAACTGGAGGCCCCAAATCCATTTTTATTCATTTTATTAATGGTATAATGATTGATTCACCATGATCTTAAGAAGATAATATAATGTCACTATTTTGCAACTTTTCCACATGTAATTTACTGAGACTCCAAAAGAAGGGGGTGGAACACTTCCTGTCTAGTCAACTTGATTAATCTACCCAAAGATGGATGGTCACTCACCTGAATTCAACCACAACCTTCCTTGGGGGAAGACCAGAGAAAAGTTCACTTTTTAGTCCATATTTTGAGCCATCTTCAATTACTTGATGTAACACAGCCTGAAATATAAAAGGAGTGGGATTTAACAATAGAATAAAATTGCAATGTTCTTAATTACTTTGTTACTAAGAATTAAATGTTGCTAATTTGTTCATTCTAATTGAAGGAACTGAAAATTTTATAGCGCTGTCAGCAGCACCATTTTCAGCACAAACCTCCCTGTTGCTAATGCTAGTCACAGCAGTCTTTACAGGAATTAACTCTGATGGGGCTTTCTATGCTCACAAATCACATCTATTCATCCTTATAGTAGCCAATGATGTAGACAAAGATGAGGAAACTGAGGCTTAATGAGGTTAGGTAATACAGAAGTCCCACAGTAAATAATAACAAAATCAGAAGCAGCATCTAGTGTTTACTAAGTGCCAAGGGCTATGCTATGTATGGGTTAATTATTTAATTCTTATATATAATCATGTATCAATTTATTTAATTCTTATAATAGCTTCAGAGATAAGTACTACTTCTAGAAATGAGGAAAGAAAAATAAAGAGAGGTTAAGTAACTTTCCCAAGGTATTGCTATTAAGTCATGTAGCAAGAACTTTTCCCACTCCCCAGTGAATGTGTTAACTGCTGCACACATAATGTTGCAGTTCTTATGGTACTAAAGTTCACCAGCAATGGTAGGAAAACAATATAAGAACACATAGTTAAATGGCTATTGGCTACACAGTATAAAATAAGGAAATCCTGCAGAAACTTCTAAAACCTTCTAGGTTAATTTTTAGCTACTAACAGAACTGTTGTATAGTTCACGAACTTATACTTTGTTTTTTGCTAATGGTGATGATGTGTCTTTCAAAAAGTAGGATGTTGGGCTGGGGTTGTGGCTCAGTGGTAGAGCGCTTGCCTAGCATGTGTGAGGCGCTGGGTTCAATCCATAGCACCACATATAAATAAATAAAATAAAGGTATTGTGTCCAACTATGATAAATAAATAAATAAATAAATAAAGTAGGATGTAAGCTGAACACGGTGGCTCATGCCTATAATCCCAGTGACTTGGAGGATAAGGCAGGAGGATTGCAAATGCAAAGCCTGCCACACTCCACAATTTAGTGATACCATAAGTAACACTGTCTCAAAAGAGCTGAGGATGTGGCTCAGCTGTTAAGTGCCCCTGGGATCAATCCCTGGTACCCCAAACCATCACCACAACAAAACCTCCCAAAATTAGGTTGTGAAATTACTGTTGCTAAGCTTTTATTCACTCTTAAATTGGTTTTGATCCATCAACTGCATTTTGAGTCCTAAAAACGTAGTTCATGATATGAAAAATTTTATTATTAAAGAACTGGTTAAGATGGTTATAAGACAGAATAGGCAGAGATGGGAGCAGCAGGAAGTAAAACAACACATACAACAAACATTTAAGGTGCTGTGGATTGTAGCTTAGTGGTAGAGCACTTGCCTAGCATGTGTGGAGTGAAGTCCTGGGTCTGATTCCCAGCACGCAAAACAAACCACCAAGACCAAAAATCCCACAAGAAGACACATCCCCAGAGTGCTAGTTGGTTCAAGACTAGGAGTTTTTATATTTATATTATCTCTGTAATCTCATAATCTTGAAGATGGGCAACATTTTCCATTAAATGCAAAACTAAGGTTCAGAAATAGTATTTATTTGTACAATGTCACAGAGAAAATAATACTCTATACAATCAGTAGGAAATAGAGAAAGGATTAATATACAGATGTTAAATTGAACAGTGCCTATCATATACTAGGGGCCCAATAAACATTAATACTTTAAGAATATGTGGATAAGAAGACTGCAAGTGGAGAGGTGAACATTAATGAGAAGGAGTCCATATTTAGATTATTGTAAGTTTATTCTGAATTTTATCTCTGAATTTTCTTATGTTACTGTATTAACTGCCCTTTTGCAGGCTTAATATTTATTGTCTTATTAAAAGAAAAAGCTGTCTTATGATTTCTTCTGTATATATCTTATGTTTCTAACAAGACTATAAAATACCAGAGAGTAGAAACTAGCATCCCTTTCTTGGATTCAATACAAAACTGATGTATTCATTCAACAAATATCGGTCTAGCATCTACTATGTGCTAGACACTGCTAAAAAACTATGGAGATCCAACAGTAAAAAAAAAACAGATGCTATTAACCCTAAAGGGATAAGAGTTTAAAGGGCAAGTGGTATTAAACAAATAAAAGGAATTTAAATACCAACTATGGTAGGTTCTATAAAGGAGAAATATAGAGTGCTATAGGAGAATATAAAAAGATCAGAAATCTACTGCCAAGAAAATCTCAAGATCCAACAGGCTGTTAAACTCAGGTGGCACTCCATTCAAAGGGATCAGTATATGCAAAGGTTGTGTGTACAATGAGTTTCAGAGCAGGAGGAAGATCAGTGCAATTAAAGAAGAGAATGAATGTACAATGGCTGGATAATAACTCATTCTTACCTTTGTTAGTAGTTCCCTGTTTATTTTGAAATTCACAGTTCCTGGACCAGTGCTGATTTCACTCACTACTGTATCACATTTCAGCTAGAAAATAAGCATATTATGAAATAGGCCCAATGAGACATACAGTTCTAATACTACAACTGGCTGACAAAGTCAAGCTGAGTTACCTCTTACAGTCATTACAGGTGGACCTGGGCCTTAGCCAATCTTCAGTTTCTCCACTTTACTTAGGTAAATACATTTTCTTTTTTTCCTTATTAGAAATGCTATTTTGTATTCAGAGTATCTCCTTTCCCCTTTGTCTTTCCTTCACCTCAAATTCTCCATTTGTCATGCAATAAGCACTTACCCTTACTCAAGAGCCACAGAATATGACATTGGGTCAGATCCTAACTAAAGCTTTTGAACCAACACAAAGCATGTAAATAATTTAGTCTGTCTTCTCTGCTCATGCCCAGCCTTCTTAACCACCTAGATGTTCAAACCCCTTGATAAACCTATAGAACTAAAGATGTGCTAGTGTTTACTGAAGAACTTCTAGTCTATATTTTTGAGAACAAGAAATAGGAAGAAAGGGATTAAATATCCTAATTAGATTAATTCTACTCCTGGTGTACTTCCTAGTAAAAATCTTAGGTGATTTTTATTATCAAATAAATATCTACTCAGTTATCAAAGTTCCTTTATCATACTCATTCCTCACAAATCTTTTTCCTTGACAGTGACTTTCATTGTTCCAATTCTTCAGAGATCCCAGATACCTCTTGTGTCACAAATAATAACCCCATTAACAATAACAACAAAACTTATCTAATATCTATTTTTGCTGAGGGTATTACACTAACAATTTAGATTTGGTCATTCTCTACAATCTTTTAAAATAAATAAAACCCACCAGGGAACTTAGAAATACTTAAGTTTTATGAAATCATCTAACCACTTCTTCCCTGTAATCATGATTTCATTTACATTTAATCACTTCTTCTCATATTTTAATGTTCTTCTCAGAAACTCGTTTTAAAAACTGCAACCCACAGCTCTAATTTATCAAGCTTGTTCTCCAAAATTCAAAAGTCCACCCAGCTTCAATCTGTAAATTTAATTAACACTTCAGTCCTACTCTGAAGTACTTAATCAAAAAATTGAACATTGTCAGCTCAAGAGGAATGCTTTATAAATAACTTGAAAAATCATTGTAACCTTATAGTAGTACAGGGCTAAAATGAATTTAAATTATATTTTCCAAGATAAAAAAGAAACACTATTAAATTCATTATTACAGATGAGAAACCCTGCAGAGCACTCTTTTTTCCTTTAAAATGCTATATTTATTATAATGTTAAATAGAGATAATAGTGCTAAAATACCTTCTCTGCCAGTTTCTTGGCTTGAACTTGAATATCTGGTCTTACGGGGTCATTGCTATTTTCCAGTAAAGAATCCACAGATAGCTGAAAGTCAGCTATTTCTCTAAAGACAGAAATTGAAATGAGAAAGAGCTGTGGTTATCTTAGAAGCATTACAAATTTAACAAAGGTTAATCATTGTGTATTTGTCATATGAACATGACTTTATCGAAAAAGGCATTATGTTTTCAAAATTAAAAGCAAGGAAATTAGAAATCACCTTGTATTTATTTAAAAACTTTTTTTAACATTTATAACATTTTATAAAATTTTTCCTTTTCTGTTATGTAACTGTAACTTTATGATATCTCTGTGAAATAGACAGAGGTGTCTGGCAAATTAAATGTCTCCTGTCAAATTCTAATGCAACTAAGCAGATGCAGACAAAAGTTCAGGTCTTTTGACCTCTTCCTACAATGCTTCCTACACTACTCCAAATGCTTGCTTCTAATTCTTGCTCCTCCACTGACTTCCAAATGACAAAAAAAAAAAAAAAAAAAAAAAAAAAAATATATATATATATATATATATATATATATAAAACTTGAGTTTCAACACGAGGGAAAAAAATTCATTCTGAATACTCAGTAGTTCATAAAACAGACACTGCCATTTATCCTTTTCATTCGGTTGATGATGAAACAATGCAAAAACAAATACAACACCAGCAATGAGTGAAAATCATCATTTGCTTGATGAGAGCAGTTCTAAGAAAAGAAAGTAGGGAATGGAATCAAAGAAGTACAGTTCAGTGAACTGAACAGTATTTGTAACATTTTATTACTAAAAATCAAGAGCCATCCTTCTCCTCTCAAAAAATAAATAAATAAAAATGAAAAAATATGGAAAAAAACTTAATTCAGAGGGTGACCACGTGAGTGTTTTATTCTTCTCTACAAATTTTTCTGTAGATTTAAAATGTACAAAGTTCAAGATCTACAAAATAGTTTTTAAATCAACATACATCTGTGTAATTACACTAACATCTTTTGATGTTTAATAAGAGAATACAGAATAGGACTTCATGAGTATAGTACGTGGTTTGTCCATTCTCTGTCTAGCACATGTCACTCACATGAGAAGGGCATACTTTAGAGGGGCACAAGTGACTTCCTTATCACTTATGATTATCAGGGAAATATCTAAAAATTCCTGTGTGACTTCTGGTTAACATCAGATTTTAAAAGTCTACGATAATCATTAAGAATTTTCCTGGGCCTTGCGAGATATAGTTGCGCATGCTTGAAATGCTACTGACTTGGGAGGCTAAGGCAGAAGGATCTCAAGTCTGAGACTAGCCTCAGCAAATCAGCAAGACCCTGTCTCAAAAAAGTTAAAAGGCTGGGGATGTGGCTCAGGTTAAGCGCCCCTGGGTTCAATCCCCGATACCAAGAAAAAATTAAAAAGAATTTTCCCGGGGGGCCTTAATCCATTATTCAGAGTGGCTAACACAAACCAACCCAACTCATTTACTGATATCGGAGCTGTTACCACAGACCCAAGTTCATCTACCAATCAGTGCCTGTGTGATGTTGGAAAAGTTGCTTAATCTCTCAGTACTCAGTAAAATGGTGATGACAATGGGATCTACTTCACAGTGTTGTTTAGAAATCAAGTCTTGGTTATGAATTATATTAATCCTAGTTCTGATGTTAAATGAAAATGTTAAATGGTATCAGCACTGACCTCTGGGAAAGTCTTTTTCTACTTTATAGTACATGATAATTCAATTTTCTAAAAATTAATCGTAAAATTCTTTTAAGGTTTGAATGTATTTATTCTTACCAAAGAACTCTTGATAGTTCAGTCAAGTATTTATGCCAATCATGGGGAACTAAACTAGTTAATAACATGGGAATAACATAAAAAGCAGAATAACAAATTCAAAGATATATATAAATTATAGAAAATGATGTAAATAAAAAGTAGTAAGAGCCCTGATGATAATATTAACTGAAATACAGATTTGAATACATCAAAGATTAAATTATTGTTTGTTGATACATACCTTGGATGTTTTAGAGAAGATTTAATATGACTCAGACTCTCAAACATCCAGAAAACACAAAGAAATCATACGATTTTTTAAAAAATAGTGTAAAATTATAAAGAGTAACAAGCATTTGTAATTTTATTCTAGAAAGGTATAACATACTAATAATTTAATTTAAAAATTGTATAATCTCCATGGAATCATAAATATTTCTAATTAGTTCAGTGGCAGAAGGACAAAAAAATTGATCCTTTTAGTTTGTTAACAATGATTAATTGCTGGGAGCCATTAGCAAAGTAGGTATGACAACTTCCTTGCCAGAGTACCCCATGTTGCAGTGACACTGAATGTAGGTGACCTTGCTCAAGGACCAAGGCGGATTAGGGCGTTCCCGGTTTAGGTTCCAGGTTTAAGGTTTAAGATTATTCCTGCTGGGAATAGGGCGTATCTTGCTGCCTGAGTTCCCCTTGAGTTCTCACGGGATTCAGACAGTATATTTTGGAGATAGAAGCCCAGTGGAGGTGGATTTGGGCAGAGAATGGGGATTTGGGCAGAGAACGTGGATTTCCCCAGAACGTGATTGTAGACGGCTGGTGTGAGTTCGGGAATAAAGAGTTGCTGTTTGAATCTACAAGCTGTGTGGTGGCTTGTGATTGTGTGCCCAGCCAGACTGCGGCAATTAATACCAATTTATTAAACTAAGAATATTTAAAACATAAATTCTGAAATTATGTGAAGGGTTACCTACCACTACCAAAGGTGCAAAAGAGAAGGAAGTGAGGGAGATCAACCAGATTTCCATCTACTTCCCAGTTGCCCCTTTGGGGAACTTTTAATCATACACCCAAAAGGAACTTTTGGTTTTGCTTTGTCTATTTGAAGAGATAATTCTTGCATGTGAATTATGTATAAAAATTTTAAAACTGAAAACAACGTAAATGTCTATCAACAGTAGAATAACAGAATATTACAAAAAAAAAATGATGTCAAGGAAAAGGGTTAAAAAATCTTAGTTTTGTAGCTTTTTTTTTTTTTCTAATCTGAAAAATATATTCAAAGACAAAGAAATGAAAAATACACTAACTTCCTAAAATCAGTCACCTACTATAGTAAGATTATTGGGACTTTATTTTTCTTATTCTTCTGTATTTTCCTGAAAGAGATTGTTTTGCACTCTATAGTTTTATGAAATTAATCCCTCTTACTTTCATTTTTTTGGGGGGTGGGGATACTGGGGATTGAATTCAGGACACTCCCACTGAGCCACATCCCCAGCTCTATTTTGTATTTTTTTTTTTAGAAACAGGGTCTCACTGAGTTGCTTAGCTCTTCACTGTTGTTGACGCTGGCTTTGAACTCATGATCCTCCTGCCTCAGCCTCCTGAGTCCCTGGAATTACAGGTGAGTGTCACTGCTCCGGCTCTTACTTTCATTTTTTTAAAATTAAAACCAGTAAGTTTAAAAAGCAGGGGCTGGGGATGTGGCTCAAGCGGTAGCGCGCTCGCCTGGCATGCGTGCGGCCCGGGTTCGATCCTTAGCACCACATACAAACAAAGATGTTGTGTCCGCCAAATACTAAAAAAAAAATAAATATTAAAATTCTCTCTCTCTCTCTACCTCTCTCTCACTCTCTCTTTAAAAAAAAAAAAAGCAATAGCTACTTTTCCACTAACTTCTGAAGGTTGTTGTGTTGGTTAATGTGAAAGCCACAGGCTTTGAGTACTACTGACTTATGACAATGCTCTCAATTCTAATAAAATCAATGTTATATAGGAAGTTCACCATAGCTGAAAATACATGGAGAACTAGCAGACCTGAGCAAATTGGTTCATTTTATATTACCTATTCTATGCCAGCAAAAAATAATATTTCTTAATTCTCCTAGCACTTAATAGCATTCTAATATAAAGTCAGAAATATGGAACAGTGAGACTTGGTTTTTAACTGTAAGGGATACTCTGGATTTATTATAGCAAAACAGTAAAGGTTTCCTCAATATGGAGAATTTTAGACTTGTGGCTCGGAAAATTTTTGAAGTGGTTCTCAATATTTATTATTTATAAACCAAAATCTTAGTACCTTGCATTATTAAAGCAAAGGCAAGCAAAGGCAATCCTATTCAAAAGATGGGTCAAAATAGTTTAGTTTATTAGGTCTTTGAAGACATTAAAATTGAGAGATTACCCTTATTATGCAGAATGCAAATTACAGATTTTACGAAATAAGTAACTGATGTGGAAAACTACATAAATTTACATATAATTATGAGAGCCCCTTGGTCCCTTGTTGCCTCTGTTCTTGGAATTCACATAAAGGAAGATGCAGTAGGCCATTTTATAGGTGTTCTCTTTTACTACAAGGTCAAATGTAGCCTCTCTCTTCCCTTTTCATTTATTTCTTTGTTCTATCCTGAGAACAGGAATATCCATCTTATGCTAATAGTCTTGACAAAATTAAGGGAATGAAATACAAGGACATATTGCTACCAGTAATTACATGGTTACCTCTTTCCAAACCTTGGGGCTCAATGCCTACTATGTGGTAAATATGTCATTATTAACTGACAATACAGTGGTCCCTTGGTGCCTGAGGTTCCTTCCAGACACCCCATAGATAAAACAATCTGTAGATGTTCAAATCCCTTATATGCAATGGTACAATATTTGCATATAACCTACACACATCCTATATATACTTTAAATTACTTCTAGGTTGCTTATAATACCTGATACAATGCAAATTCTATGTAATTAGTTGTTATACTGTAAGATTTAGGGCATAATGACCCAAAAAAAAGAAAAAAAAAAAAAAAAAGGTACAGATGCAGTTTCTCTTCTTTGAATACTTTTGTCTCATGGATTATGGGACCTGAAGGGGACCCTGTGGATTGTAGAAAACTGAGGATATTTCATCTAAGTATGAAAGTTTTCTACCCAAAGCAAAAACAAATATCAGGATGACCAAACACAATTCTCTGAATTGAAAAAAGCTACTATAGGTTGTATGCTATCAAAATCAATAGTTCTCTGTCACTAGGAATCTTCAAAAGGAAACTCAAATAACAAAATCAATACAACCAACCTATTAGACTAAATATGGTACAACAGTATTTAAACATCAGATGGTTGAAAAAACCAAGGGTTCAAAACATTTAGTTCTTAAATAATTAAATTTGAACCTCATTCCCAAAGACTTTGACACAACTATCACTACAAGCATAAGCAAGCATAAAAATAATTAATATAAGAATATTACCTGTCACATCAGAGTGTCCAATACAGATTTTAATTTTATTGTTGATTACACTAATAAGTTGAATATAATGAATCACATCTTATAATTCACTTCAAAGACTATTCCATAAATTGAAGAGTAACAATTTTTTATTCAACAAATTTGAGAACATTATAGATTACTATAAATGTATTAATTATACTTAACTCTTTTCTGGAAATTGGAACTGCAGATATTGATTTGATCAAGTTTTCTGGTGGAAGATCCAGCACTCTGGAAAGCTAAGTCAAAAAGAACAAAATAGGGTAAGACTGTAGATAATATTTGTTCCATATTCATAATACTACTTAAAAATAAAAAGAATAAACAACTGACACACCAACATAAATGGACATTATGCTAAGTAAAAGAAGCCAGATTCCAAAGATTATATAGTTTATAATTCTATTTACTTGACATACTAGAAAACTCAAACTATAAGGTTGTAGAATAGATTTGTGTTTGCCAGGAGTTGAGGGTGAAGGGATGGTTTGACCATAAAGTAGTAAACAAATTAATTTCAGGATGAATTTTGTCTTTATAAATTTAAAAATAAATTTAAAACAAAGTTTATGAAAAAGTATAGATGAACCACTGAGGACCAAAAGTACTTCTTATTCTCATTTAAAAGATTATTTATTGCCAGACACTGTTCTAGGTGTTGGGGATATAGCAGTGAACTTTCATGCTATTATAGCCTTCACTTCATGAATGATGAAACCGAAGTACACAGCATTAATGTAACTTACCTAATTGAAAAAGCTAGGATGTTAACATAGGTCATCTAAAACCAGAACTTACATTCAACTCCAACTCAACCCCTATGCCATATACATTCATAATGTATATTGTGGAGTGCAGTGACTTGAGATTGGGGATCCCTGATTGCTTCGTGGCTGTGGTGAGTCTATTGCCTGGAAATGTTTCTATGCAAGGTTTCAGGATGCCCAGTTGCTATGGTGATGCTCGGCCCAAAGAGGCTCTGTTCAAGAGTCTTATCAGTCTCAACCTTGATCACAGGCACATAACTCCCAGGGAAAGAGGAATTCTGAGCATGACAAGACAACTCCTATGTTTCACCAGCAATGCTACTTCTGAGCCTGCCCACTTAACAGTAACTTTAGACAATGGGCTTCCTGAGTCCTGCAGGAAGCTCCACCAAATACTGCAACAGTGAAATAGTTACAAGAATGTTTTTAGTCCTGTAACTTTCTAGCCTACAAAGAATCATGCCTGTATAATCCTTTACTTCTTGATTATGAGATCCTATATAAATAAACTTGCTGGGCCAACTCTTCAGTCACTGCTTTTCCATCAGAGAGCAGTGCTACATCTGATTCCAGCCTTTTATCTTAATATCTCTGTGTATGTGTTTTTCTTAATCCCCTATCACCCCTCACCAGTTTCTCAGGTTCAACTGCGTAGGTCCCAGCAGTATATATACATTTTCAGTAAAAAATGCATAAAAACAAAATAGTAGAATAGAAGCACAGCCATAATGAATTTATAATGAATTTATAACTGTCATCATCTTTCTTCTCCATCTCCTCTTGTCTCTGCAACAGTCCAATAATGGGTTATAGAGTTGGGAGAAGGAAAAGAGTGATGAGGAAAATAGGAAAAGAATGTGAAGTTCTTAAAAAGAAACCTTCAGAGGGGCCTGTAACTATTCAGAAGAATAAAATTAAACCATTGTCTCCTGATAAGTAATAATATTTAACAGGAACAACTTGTTGAATTTCACAAATATATTTTAAAATGATCAAAACCTTCATTCCTGGAGCTATCATTTATCTTTATGATGATCTGTATATTTCTGCTTTGATCTACTATGTACTGACTTTTAAACTTAAATCTCCAGGTGAAGTTTTTATTTTTATTTTTTAATTTCGAGTCTTTTGGACGTTCATTACTTTATTGCCTCAAAGAGTTAATTCCATATGATATATTCCCAAAAGTGGATAAATATTTCTAAAGCAAATATTGCTTATTTGTAGAATAAAGGCTGTAAGTTTATGTTAATACTATAAAAATGTTCCTGCCATAAAGATGTATCCGTAACAAAGGTTCTAATAAAATCTTTTAGAAAAAAACAAAAGATGCAAATCCAATTCCACATTCATTAGCTATGAGGTTGTGGGACAGTCATTTTATAAAAATGTGCTTTACTTTTCATAACTGAAATATGGGAATAATAAGTTTATTAAATAATAAACTAGGGCTCTTATGAATATTAAGAAAAATACTTAGGAAATAAGCACACAATTTTTTTCTTCTTAAAAGATTTTAGTTTAGCTATCAGAGGGAAAATGTGAATCAGAGAAACCCACAATATCATAGCAGCTCCATAAGAATGAATTAAAATAGCAGTTTTGCAGTAGCAAACTATGGCAGAAAGATTGTGGGAAAACACTGGTAGGCAACTCAGTGACCTAGCAATTAGGTTAAAACCAAAAATATTAGCTTCTACAATAGAAAGACAATAAAAGCAACAGATGGTGGCAGTGTCAGGTGTGATATGGCTCAGTGGGGGAAGGTAAGCACCTGTCAGAGCCAAAAGACATTTTCCCACTAGGTTTAAAGAAAAAACATGCTGCTATTCAACAAGTTTGCAATCTGAGTAGAAAACATCAGAAATGGCAAGCTAATCTGGCACAGGGAGGATGCTCCACAGCTCCCCAGAAGGAACAGTTGAAGTAGGGAATAAGTGACAGCTTAAAAAAGACTATTCTGGACTTCCTAAGTGATAGACCAGGAATCCTGGAAGTTTACCTCCTATTTTTTCTTTCTTAAAAGAAAAAATAAATTTTTAAAATTTTTTTGGTTGTAGATGAACACAATAACTTTATTATATTTATTTATTTCTATGTGATGCTGAAGATTGAACCCAGTGCCTCACGCATGGAAGGCAAGCGCTCTATCACTGAGTTACAACCCTAGTCCCTTAACTTTGTATTTTCATGTTTCACAATTTCTTTTCTCGTCTTGTTCTTGGTATAGGCTTTTTGAATACCCAACACCAGTTACTTAAACTCTACTTTTCACCGGATCAGTAGGTGCCCACACCATGGGGCAGTCTGAGCATATAAGTGAGACTGTACCACAGACTAGGGAGAAATTCAGGGTGGCCACTCAGTCAGTCTGCAGAGCAGATAAGAATGAAGGGTGATTCTCAGATGGGAGAGTCTAAAATCAAAATCACAGAAAGAAAAGCCTCTATTTAAAAAGAAACCTCAGGGCTGGGTTATGGCTCAGTGGTAGAAAACTTGCTTAGAATGTGTGAGGCACTGGAATTAATTCTCAGCACCATATATAAATAATAAATAAAATAAAGGTTCACTGATGACTTAGAAAGACATTAAAAAAAAAAAAAAAAAGAAGAAGAAGAAATCATGAAATTCATCTGGAAAAATAAAAGACCCAGAATAGCAAAAGCAATTCTAAGCAGGAAGAGTGAAACAGGCGGTATAGCAATACCAGACTTCAAACTATACTACAGAGCAATAGTAACAAAAACAGCATGGTACTGGTACCAAAACAGACAGGTGGAACAATGGTACAGAATAGAGGACACAGAGACCAATCCACAAAATTACAACTATCTTATATTTGACAAAGGTGCTAAAAGCATGCAATGGAGAAAGGACAGCATCTTCAACAAATGGTGCTGGGAAAACTGGAAATTCATACGCAACAAAATGAATCTGAATCCCTTTCTCTCGCCATGCACAAAAGTTAACTCAAAATGGATCAAGGAGCTTGATATCAAAACAGAGACTCTGCATCTGATAGAATAAAGGAAAAGAGTGATGAAGAAAAAGTTGGCTCTAATCTACATATTGTGGGGTCGGGCTCCAAATTCCTTAATAGATGACCCATAGCACAAGAGTTAAAAACAAGAATCAACAAATGGGATTTACTCAAACTAAAAAGTTTTTTCTCAGCAAGAGAAACAATAAGAGAGGTAAATAGGGAGCCTACATCCTGGGAACAAATTTTTACTCCTCACACTTCAGATAGAGCCCTAATATCCAGAGTATACAAAGAACTCAAAAAATTAAACAATAAGGAAACAAATAACCCAATCAACAAATGGGCCAAGGACCTGAACAGACACTTCTCAGAGGAGGACATACAATCAATTAACAAGTACACGGAAAAAATGCTCACCATCTCTAGCAGTCAGAGAAATGCAAATCAAAACCACCCTAAATGCTTACAATGGTAAATTTTATGTTATATATATTTGCCCACATTTTTAAAAAATTCAAAGAAAGACTTCTAAAATTAAGTAGTGGCTCACGTAATTGTCTCTCGCCCAATATCAAATTAAAAATAAAAGGAACAAAGGAAATTAGGTAGAAAGTGAATAAGTAGGTAGCTTGGTTCTCTAGCAGCAAATACACAAAATATAAACAGCCCAAATTCATAAAACTTCAAAAGGGCTAGCAAGCCAAGGGAAGATTCTGCAATTTTGATACAGAATGGGGCAATACTATTTGATGAGCTACCTATCTTGGGCCTCATGTATCAGAAGTCAGAGAAATGAAATAATAATTTTCATTAATAACTCAAATCTGGAGAGAAACAAATCAAATGAATTCCATTCGTCTTATGACTGGGAGATGCTGCCAAGCTACAGAAGAGAATGAATAAAACAGGGAAGGGAATTCTGGCACTTTCCAGAAAAAAGATTCTAGGGTAACATACAGAGGCCTTCCCAATTATGGGAGCAAACTTTGAGATGATGCTGTGTACGCAGTAAGAATCAGAGGATTTTTTTTTTTTTTTTTTTTAGGAGCACTGAAAAACATCAGGGCTAGTTAGTAAAAACTAAATATGCCCAGTCAGAATTCAGGAATGCTATGTAGGTCACTATGACCTACTGAAGAGAGAGACAAAAGAAGAGTAGAGTAGAAAATTATAGTTTATATTTTTGCAACCACAAAAGTGAGGAGAGCAAAGAACAAATGTATAAGGAATGAAGAAGTCACTCATGCAATAGGCAAACAAATACAAAGTTGGGCAGAGCTGTCAAGCATGACCAACAGAAAAAGATCAAGCATTACAAACAGGCAAACAAACTAAGGGAGAGAAAGGGAGGAGGAGGGAGGGCAAACTGAAAGACAAAATGCAAAGAATGCATCATACAAGAGATCAAATAACTCTGTCCAGAAGAAAAATATAATCCAACAAAAGACATTCTTTACAAATGCTCCAGGATTTGGAACTTACTCAGATT